CGTTGTATCTTCGGGGGACCTCGCCTGTCCCCCAAACTGGTGTCTTCTCTTGTGCCCGACGCGGGCTCGATGTGGACTCGACGCGGACTTGGCGCGGATTCGACGCGGATCCGATACGGGCTCGACGTGGATCCGACGAGTCCGGCATGGATTCGACACGGATTCGACGCGGATAGGGCCGCGACGGGACAGACAAGGCCCCCCGAGGATGCAACACAGTTCGGGGAACGAAGGATGGCATAAACATCACAACTCGGAGGCCCGCGTGGATTTCTTGGATCGGCGCTGGACCCCCCTCCCTGGCGCGCGGAGCGCGCCAGGGGCGGCGTCCGCGGTGCGGCCAAGGGGGCCCCAGCGCCGCTCCGAGAAATCCGCGCGGGCCTCCGAGTTTTTATGCTTATGCCATTCTCTTGGCATCGCTCGGACGTGTGCATTTTTCCTTCGGCGAGGACCATCGAGGAGCATCCTTGATCACTTGGCGAAAAAGCCACGCACGAAACCGAAAAAAACACAGGGAATGGACGTCCGAGCGATGGCCAGTATTCTTCGTCCCCCCCTCCCCCAGGCTAGGCCCTGGCCTGCTCCTCGAGACGCGCGCCGCCGTGGCGACGGGCGCCCCACCCCCCCCCAGAGGTGCCCCCCCCCCCCCCCGGACACACAAGCCTCTGGAGCGGCGGCGCGCCGACGGATCCCTCGGCCCTCGAGGTCTCCGGGGGAGCAGTCGGCGGCGCGCCCAGGGGGGGCAACGCTCAAGCTGGGCACACATGGGAAGGCGTCTCTGAATATATATAAAATTATATATATATATAAACATTGGAAGGGGCCTCTGAATCGGGGGCCCCCAATTAGGGTGGTGACCACACCGTGCGGTGAGTCGGTGGGGATTTGGGGTCATCGCACGGTTTTGGGACTCGGGTCGCTCTCCGAGGACGTCTCGGGCGACCGGTGCCTCCGAGGTCCCAAGACCGTGCGGTGACGGACCGTGCGGTGAGGTCCTGGGGGATTTCGAGGTCACCGCACGGTCTGTCACCGCACCGTTTCGGGACTCCAAACTGAAGCTTTCGTCAGGCCTGCGCAGCGTCGATAAGAGCCACGGAGCTCGGACATGCAGAAGCAAGGTGCATTCGACGCTGCAGAGCCCTAGGGGAGCAGAGCATTGACAGCGCGAGCACCAAGTCTGCAAGTGGCCGGGGGGGCCCCGCACCGTGCCCACGCGCGTTCCTCCGCCCCGGCGGGCGTGGGCAGGGGACGCGCCAAGTCGGGCGTGTCCCCCTACAGCAGGAATGCTCGAACATAGTCAACAAGTAGTATGGGGAAGGGAAGATGTTCCGACTATCTTTGGTAGTGTTTGAATATGTATTGGCTACTTTCCACATTTTTATTCCACGATCCGCCTGTACAGTGGGGGCCCGCATCAAGAAACCATATGCTTTTCGTAAGGGTCTCCTGGGTTTCTTCGCTCCGCGCGCTGCGCGGTGACTTCCCGCAGCCGTTGAAGGAGCTGCTGCGTTCAGGGTGCTCCGGGTTTCCCCTCAGACGTACCTTGCGCGCGGGTTCTCAGGGTCGGGCTTCTTGCCACGGTGTCTTGCGGCCGCGCCCGCACTGCAGCAGCACACGCCCGACCCGAGAGGCAAGGCAGACGGGGCGGGCCCTCTCGGGAGGCTCACAGAGAGGCCTCCTGGCCTCCTGGCAGGCTCTTCGGAGCCCCTCCTCCGAGGCCACAGGGGGTTCCTCAGACGGCAGGGAGGGTCATAAGCCGGGCAAGGGCTGCTAAATCCGTGGCTGCTGAAATCGACCTCCGGGAAGTTGTCTTCGTCCTTCCGGGAAGAAGCCCGTGGACTGTTTCGCGTGCCGCGCCTCATTCCAGGAAGTTGTCTTTCCCTTCCGGGAGGGCCGTTTCAGCAGCCACGGTGTTAGCAGCCCTTTGCCCAGCTTTCGAGAGGGGCTTCTGAGGAGCTACGGCGCCTTTGAGAAGGTCTGCCCTCTCGTCGCCTTCGTCCACACGTGCGAGAGTGCCCGTCCGTCGGAGTGACCTGCGGTGCGGGCCCACCGCGATGCGTCGGCAGCGTCGGGTGCCCCTCGGCCCCCAAGGGCGCCGCGCACCAGAGGTCACTCTTGGTCCGGGGCCACTCCCTGCGTGCACAGTGGAAACCCATGCCAGGAGACACCCTGCTTGTCCCCAGGGTGCCCTGGATTGCTTGGGGTTCGATGGTTTCGCCGTGGAAGGCGTGCCGCTCCCACACCAAACATCAGTGGACGCCCCGGGGTCTCAGGCTTGGGTTTCTTGTGGGCGGTTTCTTGTGGTCGAGCTCCTGCTGTAGCCGTCGCTTCCCCGTCGGCGCCGCCTCTCCTCCCTCGGCGCCGCCGTGGCGCCCGAGGCCCCGGCCAAGCGCGGCGTCGTCGGCAACAACCGGAGGGGCGCGGGCAGGGCGCGCGCGTGCGCGGGCGCTGCCCGGGGGCCTCGCCGCCGGCTGTGTCTTTTGGCCTCTACAGTTGCAGGCCAGCCACAACTGGGGGAGCTGTGGTCCTTACCCCCCTGGGGGACCCATCGATTTCGACGCCCCTCTCGAGAGATCGTCGAGGCGATGGGTTCCCCCAGGGGGGTAAGGAGCACAGCTCCCCCAGTTGTGGCTGGTCGGAATTGTCATCCCCATTCTTCGAGGAGCATCCCGGTGGCCTCGCGCGGCCCGCGATAATTGTACTATCTGGCCTGCACGTCCGCCCCGCCAGATCTGGTGGGGCGGCGCTCGTGCCGCGATGCTCTGACGCAGGTCCCCGACGTGAGCCCGACGCAGCGCCGATGGAATTCCGACGCAGAGCCGGCGTGAAATGGGTCTCGAGTTGCCGCGCAAGGCCTCTTCAGGGTGTTCTCCATAATCTGGCCTCGTTTGTCGGGGTGCTTATGATGAGGGTGGTGTTCCCGCCTTCCACGAGGAGGAGCAGGAGGAGGAGGAGGAGGAGGAGGAGGAGGAGGAGGAGGAGGGGAGGAGGAGGAGGAGGAGGAGGGAGGAGGAGGAGCACCATTCCCATCCTGTTTTTATTAGCTGCGTCCAGGACGTGGCCACGAGCGGCCACGAGCCCCCAGTGGACAGGCCCAACAACATGCCTGCAGGCGACCCGCATGGTAAGGATGGGCAACCTTTCCAAGGGTACCCTTGCACCCTTCGGGGGTGGACAGACCTCCTACCCTGACACGGCGATTAGTGAATCGTCCGTTTTCGGTTCTCGAGAGGGCGCCGCGGCCGTCATTTTCCAGGCTTGCGCCCGCCAGGTTTGGGCCCGAGGTCGTTTTCACTAAACCACGTTTTACTAAAGGGAGGTCTGTCCATCCCCGCACCCTGCTCTCCACGGTCCATCCTGGGCCACTTTCGTTGGCCGCGCCCCGCTCGAACAGCTCCGAAATGGGCGTCCAAGGCCCTTGCATCTATATCGTGCATCCTTACGATACGGGCCGACTGTACCTTATCGCTTGACAGACTCTCAAGGCTCGGCCGTCGTTGATCTGTTTGTTTGTTTGCTTGTTTGTTTGTTTGTTTATTCCGTTTCGCCACAGCTGCCCACCGCGCTTTGGCCCTGCGCGCCTGGCTGCTGCTGCCGCCCAGGCTGCTCATCGTCGAACTTTTCGGCGTCTGAGCGTCCCTCGTTCCTCTCGGCCGTCCCCCCGCCCTCTGTCTCCGCGGGCCAATTCGCTTGTGGGTGCCCCTGTCTAGCTTCTCGCTGGAGCGGAGTTCCCCGCCCCGCCGCTGACGAAAAAAGTTTATTCCGCCGGGGGACTGGACACGCCTCGCGCCGTCGTTCGCCGTGCTCTTGGGGCCTCCGCTCGTCCACGCCGCGACCAGCCGCGTTGCGGGGGCTGGCAGGCAGCTGATGATCAACCAGGGCGACGTCGAGTACGTCTCCCACATGACTGTAGGCCCCCCTGCCATCGTCTTCCTCCTCCTCCTCCTCGCTCTTCGCTCCTCGCTTCTCGATCTTCTCTCCGTCCTCTTCCTTGCCCTCGTCCGCGCGCACCGTCCGCGCGCACCGTCCGCGAGGAGCGAGAAGCGCGGACGAGGGCAAGGAGGAATTCGCCGATGTCCACTCTGTGGCAGCGAATCCAATCACTGACGACCCCAAGCGGTGGCCCACAGAAGACGGCCTCCCACCTGACAGTGCCCTCGCCCCGAGCGCTAGACACACGAGACGGGCTTTTGCGGGCTGGGAAAGGGCCCTGCTGTCTCCGCTTACGGTTATCGTGACCGTTCTTGCTGGCAGTCTTACCACACGCCATGCAAAGCAAGTGCAGCCCAAACTTAGGTCAGAAATGTGAAACGTGTCAAGAATGACAAACTTCCCCCCCCACCGTCAGCGACCCCCTGAGCTCGCGCCACCCCACTTTCAGCAGAAACGCGACAGGTCTTGGGGAGTGGCATCGCACTCCGTGGCCGAGAGTTCCAACACACATGTCCCCAGGGGGCCATCGCCTGGCACATATTACGCAGCCACCTGCGCTCCGCGCGGACCCAGCGAGGGGCCTCGTGCAGGCCCACTGCCCCGCGACGGGCCACGGGGGGCCGCACCGCAGTCCCCGGGGCAGCACCGACGGAGTCCACCATGGCCTTGGCGGCGCGGCGCCTCACGAGCGCCGCCGTGCAGCCTCCGAGGGAGGTGTCGGGCGGGCGCTGGCCAGCCGGGCCACGTGTCCACGAGAGGCGGGCGGCGTCTCTCGCAAGGCTGCCAGCAACACCGCTGGCCGTGGCGAACTGCTGCTCCCGTGGGGAGAGGCCGGGGTCCTCGGGGTCCACGCGAGACGGGAACCACAGCACTTGGGCCTCCCATTCCCCCCCATCTAGGAGGGCCGCGCGCACGCGAAACCACAAGTCGGCGTCAGCACCTCGACAGTGAGGGAACCTCTTAGTTTGCCAGCCTTTGTGCGGGGCGGCGTTGTTTGTGATGAGCCTGAGAGGCCCCGGAAACTTGCGTAAGGCGAGCTGAAGCGCTCGAATTTCAGCCCGCGGGACCGTCTGTCGTCGATCCCCACGGGTCGTGGCGAAGCCGGGGGCCCGACGCCAGCCCAAGGGCCTGTTTCATCACGATGACTGCCGTACCAACCTGTCTATTGCGAGGGTCGCTGCTAAATTTGGCACCATAGCCGTTTTCAAACGCGAACAGCAAACCGTCGGGCCCTCGAATGGCGTTCACGTCAGCATCCAAGCCCCCCATCCCCCACTCCACGTCCACCCCGCCGTCCCGAAACTCAGGGCACGTAAAACTCGAGGGAGGTAACTCCCTCAATCATTGGCTCGGGTTCGCCTTATGGTTGGATCGAGCCCAGTCGACCAGGTGGTCCGACTGGGTAAACGCGGGATGATCCTCATTGCTGGGGTCATCCCAGATACGAAGGAATAGGATTCGTTCGTTGGCACCCTCGCACCGAGTACAAAGAGAAGAGGCTGGGCACCCTTGAACAATCTGGCGCTCGTGGGGCCACTGACCGCCCGCTGCAACAGTAGTATGCTGGCTACGTAGCGCGAATGAGCGCATCCCTCTTAAGGAACTGCTGCAAGTCTGAGCGAAGCATGAACGTACCAGCGCCACTGCACAAATCCTCGCCATGAGGGTCTTGAGACGCTTGCTTCCACTGTTGGTGGAGATCAGTGGCGAGATCATCAACGAGCTCGGCGATGCCAAGATCGCCAGCTACTCTGTCACCCTTTCTGTCGGGGAACTGCCAGACAGCAAAAGAGTCGGGCCCGACATGCCTGGGCGATTCCGTGGGCGAAGCACGCTTCCAGCCAGCGTCTGTCAACGTGGCAATCAGGGCCCCGGCAGGCCCGCGGACCCTGCGCAAGCGAAACCTGGAGGCGGAGCCTCGCCCAGCAGCGACCAGCTGCCAGGCCTTGACCATTCTCGGGTGGAGTCGCGGAGACTTGTCCCGCAGGTCCAGCCAAGCGAACACGAGCTGGACTCTCTGAGACTGAGGCCAGGATCTTTATCCTCATATTCAGTCTCATGCGGTCATACGAGCCCTGGCGAGCAAGAGGAGGAGGGGTGGGCGGAGGAGGAGGAGGAGGAGGAGGAGGTGGAGGAGGAGGAGGAGGAGGAGGCGGAGACTGAGGAGGAGGCGGAGGATGAGTAGGCGAGGAGGAGGTGGAGGAGGACGAAGGGGAAGAGGATGAGGATGATGATGATGCTGCTGCTGATGATGATGATTATTATGATGATGCTGCTGCTGATGATGATGCTGATGCTGATGCTGCTGCTGCTGCTGCTGATGATGATGATGATGATGATGATGATGATGATGATGATGATGATGATGATGATGATGATGATGATGCTGATGATGATGATGATGATGATGATGATGATGATGACGATGATGATGATGACGATGATGATGATGATGATGATGATGATGATGATGATGATGAGATGATGATGATGATGATGGTGATGATGATGATGATGATGCTGATGATGCTGATGATGCTGATGATGCTGATGATGATGATGATGATGATGATGATGATGATGATGATATGATGATGATGATGATGCTGATGATGATGGTGATGGTGATGGTTATGATGATGATGATGATGATGGATGATGTGATGCTGATGCTGATGTGATGCTGATGATGATGATGATGATGATGATGATGATGATGATGATGAGATGATGATGATGATGATGATGATGATGATGATGATGATGATGATGATGATGATGATGATGGATGAGGATGAGGATGAGATGAGGATGAGGATGAGATGAGGATGAGGATGAGGAGGAGGAGGAGGAGGGAGGAGGAGGAGGAGGAGGAGGAGGAGAGGAGGAGGAGGAGGAGAGGAGGAGGAGGAGGAGGAGGAGGAGGAGAGGAGGAGGAGGGAGGAGGAGGAGGGGAGGATGGGGATCCATCGTTCCAGAGCGTTCCAGGACGCTCTCAGAGCGCGCTCTGGATGGTCCGCGGCGTCGGATACATCCTTCGGGGGTCCCCAAGCGGTATGGTGACCACACCTTGTGTCGAGTTGGTGGGCATTGGGGATCCCCGCACGATTTTGGGGTCTCGGGCCCCTTTGCCCGAGGACGTCCCGGGCGACCAGGGCTTCAGGGTCCCAAGACGGTGTGGTGACGTACCGTGCGGCGAAGTCTCTAGGGATTCCGATGTCACCGGCATTGGGGCACCCGCATCCTCCAGAGACCACCGGATCTCCGAGATCCCCGACCTATCCCGTTCCGATGTCGTCCCCGTCCTGGCTTCGTCTTGTTCCGCTCCCCCGCCACCCCGCGGGTTACGATGCGCTGCTGGGGGTGGGCTCGCAGCGATGCTTGCGCTCTCTTGCTCGCCTCGCGCTCCTCGGGCGGTCACACAAGCGTCTCTCCCCCCGCGCAGCGCGGGCGGCCGTCCAGCTCTGCTCGCGAGCCGACGAGCGATCGACTAGCGGTCGAAGCGCGCGTCGATGCCCGCGCGTCTGGGTCACCAGGGCAGCTCCGGCCGCTGGCTGCCGCCCTCCCGCCACCCTTGCCGCCGTGGTTCGCCACGGCCGCCCACCGCGCACGGGCCCTGCGCGCCTGGCTGCTGCTGCCCACCCGGCTGCTCATCGTCGAGCTCTTCGGCGTCTGAGCGTCCCTTCTTCCTCGTGGCCGTCCCCCCCCCCCTCTTTGCTCGCCGGCCAATTCGCTAGCTAGTGCCTCTATCTAGCTTCTCACTGGAGCGGAGTTCGCCGCCTTGCCGCTGACGAAAAGTGTTTGGGTCACTGGGGCCTCCAAACTATCCCGCGGTTTGATTTTGTCCTGACGCTGGCTGCGTCTTTCGGGGCCTGGAGGTTGGCACCAGTGCCAATATCCGTGGTGTGCCTCCACCGGGGGAAGATGATCTCGACCTTAGTAGTTTGGTGGTAGTTTCTGGGCTTCCACGTGGTCGCATGATCACCGTCAGCACCAACATCTTCACATGATACGGTCAATGGGGGGAAGCATGTTGTCAAATCATTTCCAAATGTCTACAGCATGTTTTCAACATGTTAAACAAAAGACAGCACATGCTTGAAGCATATGTGAGACAGCTTTACGAGATGGGATGCACATGCTCATTCCAAGCATGGGGCCGTTCGAGTGTCACGTGTCATGGCACCCACAACAAGCTCTGGTATCCTCTTGCCCCAAGGGGGAGGCGCCCTGTCGTGTGGTGCTGGTGCCCACTCCCCAAACCTCCAGCTCCTGCTCGAGTGCGTTCCTGGGCCAGGCCCCCTGTCTTTCTATAGATCCACCACCCACCGAACCACCCCACCCCAACCCGAAGGTCTAAATTCACCTTCGATTTCCTGTGTGAGGGGGAGGTTCGGGGAACATTGAAAAAACAGATGTGGAACCCGTACCCCCCCCACCCGAAATTGGGGTCTTCGGGTTAGGTTGGGGTGGTTTGGTAGGTAGTCAACAAAGCTGCGTGCAGGAACCACCTGACCACCTCAGTATTTCCTGGTCGCCGGCGTCGCTTTGGAGGTGTCGGTGCGCCGCCCACGGCGACCCCTCGTGGTTCGCCTCCCGAGCGCCCTGCGCCCCGACCCTCGAGACCCTTCTCTTCCTCCTCCTCCTCCTCCTCTTCCTCCTCCTCCTCCCTTTCCTCCTCCTCCTCCTCCTCCTCCTCCTCCTCCTCCTCCTCCTCCTCCTCCTCCTCCCCCTCCCTTTCCTCCTCCTCCCGTTTCCTCCTCCTTCTCCTTCTCCTCTTCCTCCTGCCTTTCTGCAGAGCTGCGTGCGGGAACCGGACCACTTTGCGATTTCCTGGTCGCTCGTTGCCACGCTGGACTGGTCGGCGCGCCGCCCTGGGCGGCCGAGCTGATCCCAAGCAGACGCTGCAGACTGGAAAAGGGAAGTGGCACGCCTCCCGAGCGCCCTGCGCCCCGATGCTCGAGACCCTCCTCCTCCTCCTCCTCCTCCTCCTCCTCCTCCTCGTCCTTCTCCTGAAAACGGAGGCAAACCCCGCCCGGACCCAATAGCTGGCGTTTCCTGAACGGCCCTGGGCGTTTACCATGCAGCCCTGGCCCGCTCGATTCCCCTTGCGGGTGCGCTTATACGAAACGGCTTTTCTGAGGAGGGTGACCTTTCTGCTCTCCAATACTCAAGCTCTTACTTCAGGAGGGAAAGAACACACAGACACAATGAATCGTCGATTCCCCCGAAAATCTGGGAAAACGTGGGAAGTGGGGAGGAAGACAAAAGCCCAGGAAAGGTGGGAAGAGGTGGGGAGTCCTGCTGCTTGCGTGCATCTCTTTCTGAGCCCCGGGGCCCCCCCCACCAGCGCCCCTCGAGCCACGGGGGCTGTGCGCTCAGCGCGGCCCGGGCCACTGGCCTCGCCTGGCCTCCCGGCCTCCGCGTCCCGAGCGTCAGAGGGGCGCAGAAGCAGGGGGTGGGGCCAAAGAGGGGGGTGATGACTGGGAGGGGGGGGGATATCGTGGCCTGGGCCATGACAGTTCCCCAGATCTCATGGCGCCTCTCCTCACTCCATGACGTCCCTGGCCCCCCCGCTGCTGGGCCGCGCGCGTGCCGTCGGTCCTGCTCTGCACCTCCCCCCCTCTTGGACCCCTCCCTCTTGGCCGCCCCCGACCTCCGCGTTCCGAGCATCAGGAGGGGAAGAAACAGGGGGAGGACGAAACTCCAGGAAATATTGAACACACGGGAATCCTGGGATTTGTGTGCATTTTTTTGTGTGTCCCTAGGCCCGTTCAGGGTAGGGCATCGAGTACCGAATTGATTAACCCCAACATTGACTTTCTGCCGAATCTTTATACAAAATGCATTGAAACCTCCGTCGATCTAAGGAGCACTATATTCATCTGTCGTAGATTCGGCGGAACAGTCATTTTTCTGGGGTAGACACATTCGATGCACTACTCGAATGTCGCCCCCTGGCCCCCTCCCTCCGCGCTTCCTGGGCATCGCTGGGACGCGTGCTTTTTTCTCGCGCGAGGCCAGCTCCAGAAAATCTTAACCATCTTGGCGCCGCTTTGGCCACCTGGGGTTGTAATCACGCGCGAAGCCAGGCAGGGCACGGGGAATGGGCGTCCAAGCGATGGCAAGCTTCGCGGGCAGGCAAGCAGACCGTGGTGGGCATCATGGACACCGGATCCTTCGAGCTCGTCGTGTTTTCCACCGAATGCCAGAGTTGTGGGACGGTGGCCTTCTTTTCTTGCTTCACGGGGCGGGAGGACAGGGCAGCAGGTAGTGACAAGGAGGAAGAGGAGAAGGAGGCCGGTGATGATGATGAGGAGGATGATGAGGGTCTAATGAGGATGACGAGGATGATGATGAGGATGAGGGACGAGGGATGATGGATGCTGATGATGCTGATGATGCTGATGATGATGATGGTGATGATGCTGATGATGATTATGATGATGCTGCGGATGGTGATGATGATGATGGTGATGCTGAGTATGATAATGAATATTGAATGAATGAATAAATGAATGATGATGCTGGGGATGGTAATGCTGATGATGCTGCTGCTGATGATGATAATGATGATGATAATGATGATTAATGATGATAATGATGATGCTACTGATAATGATGACAATGATGATGACAATGATCATTTCGATGCGTTATTGATGACGATGCTGATGATGACGAGGCTGCCGCTGCTACTGCTGATGATTATGATGATTGTGATGCTGATGTTGTTCAGGACGAGGACGATCATGACGAGGTTGTTGATGGTGGTGGTGATGTTCATGATGTTTTTGATTCTGATGACGTCGATGACGATGACGATGACTATTACGATGATGATGTTGTTGATGTTGATGATGACGATGATGACGACGATGATGGACATCAGGATGATGATGACGATGCCGATGATGATGATGCTGATGATGATGATGACCATGATGTTGATGATGACGACGACGATGATAATGATTGTGATGTTGATGATGATGACGATGACGATGACAATGTCGATGATGATGCTGATGATGGTGTTAATGATGATGCTGCTGATGATGATGATGCTGATGATAATGGTGATGATGATGATGGTCATGGTGATGATGTTGCTGTTGATGATGAAGATGAGGATGAGGATGATAATGATCAGGACGAGGTTGATGATGGTGGTGGTGATGTTGATGATTATGGTGATGGTGATGACGTCGATGACCATGACGCTGACTATTACGATGATGTTCTTGTTGATGTTGATGATGACGATGATGAACAATAGGATGATGATGACGACAATGATGAGGGTGATGATCACGACGACGACGATGATGGCGATGATGATGGCGATGATGATGATGATGATGATGATGATGATGATGATGATGATGATGATGATGACGATGATGATGATGATGATGATGATGATGATGATGATGATGATGATGATGACGATGCTGCTGCTGATGATGATGATGATGATGATGATGATGATGATGATGATGATGATGATGATGATGATGATGATGATGATGATGATGATGATGATGATGATGATGATGTTGAGGATGCTGATGGTGATGATGATGATGATGATGATGATGATGATGATGATGATGATGATGATGATGATGATGATGATGATGATGATGATGATGATGATGATGATGATGATGATGACGATGATTATGGGAGTGCGGGCACATATGATGCTAAGAGCGCCTTTGCCGTTGCTCTCGTGGACCCCTCTTCCCTCGGTGCGTGTGCGCCCCGATTATCGCGCTTCGCTCCCTGGGGGTCCTCGCTCCGTCGTGCTTGCACTGCCTGGGCAAGGTTGGTCCTGCCAGTCAGCTCTCGTGAGCTGCTCTTTTTGGCTCGAGGACCTTCTCTACGACCTGCGGCCTTGAGCTGCATGCAACACCAGGGTTTTCCTGCGTTCTGGAGCGGCCCCATCACCGCGATTGTGCTCTCGCTGGGCTTGCGGAGGCATCCCCGCCCGCCGGGCCCGCCGTGCCCAGACCCGCCCAGCTGCGAGTGCAGCTGCCCGGAGGCGGCGCCGTGCCCGGACGCCGCGCCGTGCGTCTGCCCCAGGTGCCCGGATGCAGCGCCGTGTCCAGAGTGCCCGGCCGTGGAGCTGGGCTGGGAGCGCCAGCTGGGTGGTCCAGACGGCACTCGCCGTGGCGAGGAGTGTGGCAGTCAGAGTTGTCGGACGGGGTCGTGTGAGTCATGGCGCTCGTTGGGCTCGACGCGGGGGAGGCGTGCTTGAGGCGCCTCCTTCCAGGTACACGGTTCCTGGCGTGGTACGACGCGGACGTCGTGTACCGCGAGAGGATCGCGCTGTGGCCACAGACGCGCGACAAGTGGGTCATCCTGACCCCCGACCTCGACATGTACGCCGAAGTACTGGATGGCAGCGAAGGCGCCAACGGGGTGACGCGGATCCTCGACTTCCGCCCAGGTGGGCGGCTGCCCCCGCTCGACAAGCCAGTGTATCGATTCCCGGGCGCCCTGCCCGTGGACGATTTGAAGAGCTACATCCGCGAGGGGCGGCGCCTGGCCTTTTGAGGACGGAGCCGCGGCGGGCGACCCGCCGGTCGAGCTCACAGACGCGGTGATGCCAGATCGGGAGGTGTTGCCCCCGGACTCCATGTTCGGCGGCCGCTTCTTGCCCCGCCGCCTGCCGCTGCGCCGAGGCGCGGCGGCGGCGGCAGCCGCGGCGGGCGACGGGCCCCCAGCCGATGCAGCCGCCGGAGCCGCGGCTGACGCGGAGGGGCCCGCGGCGGCGCCTGAGGGTCAGCTGGTCGAGGAGTGCCCGCAGCGCGGCCCGCAGGACACCCCGAAAGGTTAGCCTGGCTGCTCATGGAGATGGCGATGCTGATGATTTTGATTATGCTGATGATGCTCATGATGATGCTGCTGATGATGATGCTGATGCTGATTATGTTCATGATGATGCTGATGATGATGATGATGATGATGATGATGATGGGGTGATGATGATGATGATGAAATGTGATGATGATGCTGGCGATGATGATGATGATGATGATGATGATGATGATGATGATGATGATGATGATGATGATGATGATGATGATGATGATGATGATGATGATGATGACGATGATGATGATGATGATGATGATGATGATGATGATGATGAAGAAGAAGAAGAAGAATAAGAAGAAGAAGAAGAATAATAATCAGACGAATAATAATAAGAATAATAAGAATAATAAGAAGAAGAAGAAGAAGAATAAGAAGAATAATAAGAATAATAATAAGAATAATAATAAGAAGAAGAATAATAATAATAATAAGACGAAGAAGAATAAGAAGAAGAAGAATAAGAATAAGAAGAATAATAAGACGAATAATAATAATAATAATAATAATAATAATAATAATAATAATAAGAAGAAGAATAAGAAGAATAATAAGAAGAATAAGAAGAAGACGAAGCAGAAGAAGAATCAGAAGAAGAAGAAGAAGAATAATAAGAAGAATAATAATAAGAATAATAAGAAGAATAAGAAGAATAAGAATAATAATAATAAGAAGAATAAGAAGAACAATAATAATAAGAATAATAAGAATAATAAGAAGATGATGATGATGATGATGATGATGATGATGATGATGATGATGATGATGATGATGATGATGATGGTGATGATGATGATGATGATGATGATGATGATGATGATGATGATGATGAGGAGGAGGAGGAGGAGGAGGAGGAGGAGGAGGAGGGCAGACGGCAGCAGGCACAAAGCCTGCAGCGGCCCGAGACCCCGGGGCGCCCCACGCTCCGCGCAGGGCTCGAAGAGCACGCTGGACCCCACTGCCCGTGGGGCCAGCGGCACCGCGGCTCCACCCCTCGGCCTCTCCGCGCCCCGGGGTTGGGCCCCCAACTCTCCGAGTCGGGCGGGGGTTGCAGTTACGTCGGGCATGTCCCTCTACAGGGGGAGTACAGAACATAGTCAGGGGACGAGGTTTCGACCATTTCTGATGTTTTTTTCCTCCGAAATCTGCCTGTAGGAGGACAGGCCCGACCGAATGGTAATGGGGGGTAATTTACATGGGGGCTCTACAGAGGGGCTCTTTCTTCCCCCCCCTTATAGGTCACCCCCTCTGAAGACCCGCCCGACTCGCAGCCGAGTCCAACCTTGGTGACGCCGCCAAAATCCATCCACTGACCGATGCGCCCGGGCTGCCCTCTCATGGGCCCTCTGCGCGGTGCTTCTCGCCGCGAGCTGCTTCGCGGGACCCCGTCCAGAGGAAAACTCCCTTCACGTCCTACGCCTGCGGGGGGAAGCTCAGGACCATAAATCTTGACGTTCCCGATCGCTGCCTCCATCAGTATCGTTTCACCGACTCATATCCCCATCTCCTATCCTCATCTAGACCTTCACAATTTTCCCACCCCAGTTGGGGATATGCCTCTCGAAACCCGAAGGGAACGGCCTATATCCCATCCCCATCTAGGGGGGTAAATCGGCCAGCGAGGCCCAGGCCACGCCGTTTGGGATACGGGTCGGTTAAACGATGCTCAGGAGCATCATCCTGGCGTTGCCAATCGCCTCCTCGAGCTGGACCTTCAGATCCTCGCTGACGGGGTTGACCAGCATCGGCGCGAGCATGGCGCGTAGTTCCACTTCGAACTCGTCGCCAACCTGGAGCTCACGATAAGGCTCTCCTCATTGCGGCGGTCGTTCTTGGTCCCGCTTCTGGGGCCCATGACATGTGGAGCGTCGCCCGAAAATGTGGAGCAGCTGCGCGCCGCGGCTGCTGCTTCCACCCAGCCCTCTACAGTCGGCACTGATAGGAAGGATGAGCGACTTTCCAAGGGTGCCTTGCATCCTTGCCTCCTCGGTCATCTTCGGCCCGTCCTCGACCACCTTCGATCGCCAGCCCCGCTCGCAAAGCTTCGGTATGGGCGCCCAAGGGGCTTGCATCCTTACCGCGCATGCTTATCAGCAGCTTTTGGCTCGACATTCGGCAGCGGCTCCGGGACGTCGCACCCGCACCCTCCTGGCCGCAGAACTCGTCGCAGACCTCGTGGTCGACCGCACCCTCGTAGGATGACTCCGCCACGGCACAGCAATGCGAGGCGAGATGAGCCTCACCCTCACGCTGAGCTTGACCCTTATCATCTCCGGTGCCCTGCGCCATGGAGAATACGGGGGCGTCATCCAGGCTCTTTTCGCCTGGCCGCTTGAGCGCGCCTCTGCAAGCCTCGAACACGTACTCCACGTCCGAGTCAGTTTCAAGCGTGTCCGCCCACCTTGGTCTGGCGACCTTCAGACCTGAACCTTTCAGGGGAAGTCCTTGTATCACTCTGTCCTCCCCTTGCTCTCCTCCGCCTTGGGCTCCTTCCCTTCCCTTTTTGGCCTTGCGCTGGGGAGCCCAGACGTCATGAGCTCGCCCTCGCCCTTCCCGACGTTGCTTGATGCTCCCACTCCTGCATAGCGTGGCGCTTCTCCCGCTGGGCCTGGCTGGGGCGGCTGCGCTTCTTCGCGCACGGCTCCTCGGAGGATCTGGTACACCCGCCCCCCTCACCGGAGCAGCGACCCCGCTTGCCCTCCAGCGCTGCCGCGGCCGCCGCTTGCACTCCCGTCTTAGGGGGCCACATGCGAACCCTACCCCTAACCCCCACGATTTCTAAGGGGGAGGGTGGGGTTCATTCCGTTCGGGAGCTCCCGAACGAAGTGAACCCCACCCTCCCCCTCAGAAATCGTGGGGGGTAGGGGTAGGGTCCCCATGCAGCCCCCTACGTCTGCACGCTCTTGCAGACATCCTCTTCCTTGGACGTGGGGCACCCTCGGCGGCCTGGATGCGGGGCACGTACGTCCCGCCGCGACCCGCAGCCGCCTCGGGGGAGTCACGGCCTCCCGAGGCGGGCGTCTCCGCCGCGCCGCACTCGGCGAGCGGCTCCTCGGGCGCCCCGCTTGTCCTCGGAGTCCTGCTCCCCGTCCGCTCTCGCCGGCCTCGCGGACGATCTCCGGGGGCAGCTCTCGGACTCCGTCGAACTCCTCCTCGCTCGCCCTGTCGGACGCCTCCGCGGAGGCCGGCGTCGGAAGGAAGGGGACGAGCGCTGGTTGCTGACGCCGCATGGCCTGATAGATCCCGCAGATCGTCGGCCTGCAGCCGGTGCGCGTCGATGAGCTTTTGAACAGCCTTCTCCATCTCCGCCGCGACGCGGCGCTTGACGCACTCGAGCCGCTTTTCGCACGCGAGGTCGGAGGCGGCCTGTGTGCACCCACGCAGGACTGCTGCGGCGCTGACGGGTCTGCTCGCGGGCGTGTGCCGCGTTCCAGCTATCGCGCCCGCAATTTCCTGCCTCGGGATGAACACGGCTTGAGTCAAAATGGCTGCTGCGGAGGAGGAGTAGGAGGAGGGGGAGGAGGAGGAATGAGAGGAGTGGGAAGGAGCGGCACACTGTACCTAGGATACGCGCTAATAATCGCAAGACTGGCAATCTAATGAAGCATGCTAGAACTATAATAATACTTCGACTCATCCTTGCGGATATCAAGACTGATGATAATACTGACGAGAAGCGGAGTGCGAATACTAATGATCATGCGAAGGTGCATTACAGTACAAGTATTCGTCCACACGCACAGTAATCATATGACTAACCATACGAGCAAGAGTACTACGCAATGATACGCATGCGACGTAGGAGCTGGCGTATGATGCATACACTAATGCGCATCATAATGAGAGTATTGCGAATCTGATTGATAACGGCATTTATGATAAGACGATCGTGACACTATTTGATACTTAGATCATAAACGTGAAGAGGAGGACGAGGAGGACGATGGGGGAGCATGATGAGGGGGGGAGGGAGGAGGAAGGACGGAGGAGTAGGGGGGGAGGGCAGGAGGAGGAGGAGGGGGAGGAGGAGAAGCAGGAGGAGGAGGGGGAGGAGGAGGAGGAGGAGGAGGAGGAAGGACAGAGGAGTAGGGGTCGAGGACGGAGGTTTCCAGAAGCTTCTGAAATCTTGCTGGGTGTAGCCCAAGAGAGAAGCGCCTGCTTTGGGCGACTTCTCCAATGTAGCATGCCGCGCTGGCGGCTCCCGTAACCCACCGCGTGAGGTCGCCCCGTCATCTCGTGTAAGACCAATTTCTGTGTGTCGCTCACGCCGGAGCACTTCTTGTCATCCAGATCTTTAGCTTCCTTCCGAGTCCTTCCCCTTCGGCCCATCCTTGGCGACTTTCGCTGGCCAGCCTCCGTCGAATGATGCCAACGTGGCCCTCGAAGGCCCTTGCATCCTTACCGCGCATCCTCATTTGATGCGGGTTGACTGCACTTCTAGGGGGCCACATGCGAACCCTACCCCTACCCCCCACGTTTTCTGAGGGGGAGGGTGGGGTTCACTTCGCTCGGGAGCTCCCGAACGAAGTGGACCCCACCCTCCCCCTCAGAAATCGTGGGGGGTAGGGGTAGGGTTCGCATGCGGCCCCCTACGTCTGGTCTTCGGCTTCCTCTGCCGTGGTCCCCCCCCCGGCCCAGGCAGCGAAGTACAGCCCGAAGGCCAGCAGCAGCCACAGCACAGGCCCCCCCGGGGTAGGGGGGAGAGGGAGGCGCGGGGGCGGGAGGGCCGACCCCCTGCCGCCGAGAGAGCTCCTCCCGTGGCCCTCCCTCGTCGGAGGCTTCACAAGGCAAGTGGTGACGACCTCAAGCCGTTTGATCGGGATATCCTCTCCTCCTCCTCCTCCTCCTCCTCCTCCTTCCCCTCCTCCTTGTCCTCCTTCTACTCGTCCTTCTCCCTCCACCATCTCCTCCTCCTCCCCCTCCTCCTTCCTCCTCCCTCTTCCGTAGTTCGTTTTAATCAGGCGCTCTGGGTGAGCTTTCGCCGCCGCCGCCGCCTCTTCGGACTGGTCTGAGTCAAAGTGGCTATGGCCTCCCTCCTGATGCGCGCAGGAGCAAGGGAGGGAGGGGAAAGGAAGGTATTGCCTCACTGTGCCGCTCCACTCCGAGGAGCCTGCGCCGGACACGGATGCTCTCGGGAGGTTTCCGGATGTTCTGCTGAAGCTGCTGCTGACTTTTGGGAAGTTGCGCAAAGGATCTCACAGGTTTCCAGGGCTTTCTGGAGGCATCTGGAGGGATTTGGCGGTCTCCCCAAGCCCTCCCCCCCCAGGAAGGTTCGATGATCCTCACGACGTGTGTTAGCCCAATGTGTGTTTCCTCTGTTCAGCCACACCCGCAGATCATTACATCGCCAGCGTCGTATGGAAGGGCCTCGGTTTATTATGTTCCAACTTACTTTAGCCTTGATCACCAGACATACTTTCGAGCACCAAAGTACTGAAATTCTAGGGTTCTGACGTGTTGGGCCCTGGGGGACACTCGCCCGACACTGTTTCGACACTGTTTCGACACTCTTTGGACACTATCCCGGGTGCTCGAAATTCTTTCTGGGATCTGGTCCTTAAGTAGGATGGGAACAACATAAGCCTCGGTGGATACACACACGTTGGCTCCAGCACACGCTGTGAGGATCATCGCAAGGCTTTCGCTTTCTTGATTCCCCGAGGCTGTCGCGGGCTCTCCGAGCCTCCCTCCGGGGGGCGCTCCGGTGGTCTCTCGTCGACCGCCCCCCTGAGGCCTCGGGCAGAGCGGGGGGCGCCATGGCCTGCGGGCGTCGTGAAGGGCAATGTTTACGTCGGGCATGTCCCTCTACAGGAGGATTTTTTCCAAAATAGTTAAGATATGGTCAGGGGACGGTTTTTCCATCAGTTTCGACTATTTCTGAGCATTTTTTCGCTATTTTTCACTTGTCGTCCAAACTCCGCCTGTAGGAGGACATTCCCGACAGAAGGCAATGCCGACAGGCAGGGCCTCCCACGATCCGATTCGATGAGATTCGCTTCGCCGGCGTGGGCCGCGATTTCGACTCGATTCGATTCGAATCGGTCGGCCACACGTGAGAGAGATCAGAGGAGGAAGAGGCACCCATACCTCTACCCTCCACCCGTTTTCCTCTTTCTCGGTCTCCTGGGAGGTCCTCGCCGCCACCGCTGGATTCGCCTCGAAGTTCTGGTCAGAACGCACCCTGGGAGAGGCCTGGGGAGTAGCTTTAAGTCGGGCGTGTCCCTCTAGAGGAGGAATATTGAAGAACAGTTAAAAAATAGTCTGGGGACGATTTTCATACTATTTTTTTGTCTGTTTGAGCAATTTGGGGTATTTTTCATTTCTCGTCCAACATGCGCCTGAGGGGGGACACGCCCGACCTGAGAGTAGCCGTATCGGTACCTCTTGGTCTCCCCAAGAGACCCCTCGCCGGAGTGACCTTGGGCGCGGGCGGGCCCCGAGCGGCTTCCCTCCGAGCCCCCCAGTCACCGCCTACCAAACCATCCCAACCCACCCCGAAGGCCTCAATTTGCCCTCCACTTCCAGTGTGGGGGGGGGTCGGGGAACATCGACAAAAACACGTATGGAACCCATACCCCCCCCAACCCGAAACTCGGGTCTTCGGGTTGGGTTGGGGTGGTCTGGTAGGCAGTCACCCAGCACTGGCCTGCACGACTCGATCCATAACGCTTCACCCGCGCCGGCGGGGGCCAGCCAGAGCCGGGCGCGGCGATCCGACGTCGATCCGATTCGGGAGGGGAAAAAAGCACACAGACACAATTCATCGTCGACTCCCAGGAAAATATGGGAAAATATGGGAATTGGGGGGGAAGACAAAAACCCAGAAACTATGGGAAAATATGGGGAAACCTGTTATTTGTGTGGATTTATTTGCGTGTCCCAGGGCCCCTTCACCGATTCGGGACGATTTTTTTTGGAGATCCCGTTCGTTTCCGATGGTGCGTTTTCGCGATTCGATATAGCTCAGGCCTGACGGGCTGTTTTGCCACGGTTTCGGCCCTGCTGGGCCCTGCGAACCGATCGGTGCAACTCCAGGCGTCGGAGAGGAGGGTTGGAACGAGGAGGGCTACGCTCGTGTTTCCTTCCGCGACGTTGAGAATTGTACGACGTTTCGGTTTTCATGACGTTTGGGCTTTCACTACGTTTGGGTTCACACGACGTCGCATACCTCTTGCGTCATGCAGAAGGGTAGGGCCGAGGACGGCTCTATCCATGCCGCCGATGCCGATGCCGATGTCCTTGGGCCCGTCTTTGCTGATGTCGCCCGCGCCAGCCTTGGAGCCGTCTTTGCCGCCGCCACCGCTCTTCTTGTAGCTAACAGCCCACACACCCCACGGTGGTGGTTGCTCCGCGACAACGAACGGCTTGATGGGCGAGCGGCAGCCGCCTCATCAGCTATTCTTCTTGAAATTCCAGGCGTTCCCGCAGCTCTTGCACGCCGCTAACTGCGTGCGGCGGTGATCGCCCATGACTGCGGGGTGCGAGGAGGAGTGCCGAGCACTCCCGAAACAATCACTGTCTGCCTCGAAATAGAGGTGTCAACTTCCTTTCCAGGGGAAAGGAAAATATTGAACCAAAATGGCTACGGAGGAGGGGGAGGATGAGGAGGAGGAGGAGGAGGAGGGGGAGGGGGAGGAGGATAGGTGAGGAGGGGGAGCCCTACAAACTCGGAGGCGGGGGTAGGCTCGCTGATGACCGTGCAGTCGTACGGCAGCGGCGACACGTATTCGTGGGAGGCCCCGAGCGCATGGGGGGTCCGCTGGTTCGTCGTCGCCGTCGCCGACGTTGTCGTCGATGTCGGCGTCGGGCGCCGGCGCTGGCGCTGGCGCTGTCGCTGTCGTCGTCAACGTCCTCCGCCTCCTCTTCCTCCTCCTTCTCCTCGCACGTCCCGCCGAGCTCTTGCGGGCGCTCGTGGGTTGAGCGCGTGGTATCGCGTCCCCCATGCAGGCGGATTGTGGGACAAAAAAATAGAACCTATTCAAACATGGTCAAAAATAGCCAAACATAATCAAAAGATATCGAAACAAATCGTCCCAGACGCGGTTGTTTTTGACTGCTTCTCAACATTCCTCGTGCAGAGGGACACGCCCGACTTCAGGGTCGGGCGACGAGCTCTGCACGCATCCGCGGCTCCTTGGCTCTGGGCGCGCCCTGGGCCCACGCGCCGTGCTGCGTGCCGTCGCGGCGCCGCGGCGAGGACCGCCTTGGGGTTCGGAAGGGGGCCCGCGGCTCCTGGGGGTCCTTCCTGTGACTGCTCCTCCAGCCTTGCGTCGGGTCTGTCCCTCTACGGGAGGAGTGTTCACACATGGTCCAAACATGCTCTGCATGTCTCGTTTATTGCTGCTGTTGTTGCTGCTGCTGTTGTTGTTGTTGCTGCTGCTGCTGCTGTTGTTGTTGTTGTCGTCATCGTCGTCGTCGTCGTCGTCGTCGTCGTTGTTGTTGTTGTTGTTGTTGTAGTAGTAGTAGTAGTCGTTGGTATTATTATTGTTGTTGTTGTTAATGTTGTTGTTGTTGTTGTGGTTGTTGTTGCTGCTGCTGTTGTTGTTGTTGTCGTTTTGTTATGGTTGTTGTTGTGGTCGTGGTTGTGGTTGTTGTGGTCGTGGTTGTGGTTGTTGTTGGGTGGTTGGTGTTGTTGCTGTTGTTGTTGTGGTGGTTGTTGTTGTTGTCGTTGTTGTGGTTGTTGTTGTTGTTGTGGTTGTTGTTGTTGCTGTTGTTGTTGTTGTTGCTGCTGCTGCTGCTGTTGTTGTCGTGGTTATGTTTGTGGTTGTTGTGGTTGTGGTTGTGGTTGTGGTTGTGTTTGTATGGTTGTGGTTGTGGTTGCTGCTGTTGCTGCTGCTGCTGCAGCTGTTGTTGTTGTTGTTGAAGTTGTTGTTGTTGTTGTTGTTGTTGTTGTTGTTGTTGTTGTTGTTGGTGTTGTTGGTGTTGTTGTTGTTGTTGTTGTTGTTGTTGTTGTTGTTGTTGTTGTTGTTGTTGTTGTTGTTGAACATTATTACTTCTAAAGAATAATTATTGTTGGGGCCCCTGGTGCACGACCCCCCCGCCGCGCCTAGGCCGCAGCCTCATTTTCATCATTTTCGTGAGGAAGTCTCAGGCAAAACGGGTTGGTCCGGATCCGGTTGTGTTGTTACGATCGGTTTTCCCTTGCAAAAAATAAGCTAAAGTGGACATTTCTTGTTCTAACATAACCAAACTTCAAGAATCCCTTGCAAAAAATAAGGTAAAGTGGACATTCGCGCGCGCAAGACGAAATCCTTCCAAAACCTTAGTTTTCGTAGCGATTTTAACATAAAAACATCAAAAAACCAATGGTTTTTCAAAAAAATGTCAAAATTTCATCCCGCGCGCTCTTGCGGATTCGTAGGAAACCCAACACTTTTTAATCATTTCTGTCAAACGGGCTTTTGCGAGCAACTTTTTCGAACTTCTGCAACAACGGTTGCGCACCTGCCAGGGCCATCATCCCTGTCAAATAATACCATGCGGGACACATTCGTTTTTTCTTCGCGCGCGCACGCCGTCGTCGTCGGCCGCGGGGCCCTGAATAGTAGCCACGGTCGTCCGCATGCCACGAAGTGAAGTGTCCGAACGTCATAGGGCGGGAAGCTGGGTGTGGGTGGTGGCGAAGAGTCGTTTGGAAATTTGGTAGAGCTTGAACCGGCCCCCCCACAAAGTGGGGGTATTGCCCGCCTCCTATGAAAACCCTGGCACTGGTGAGAACGGTGTGTCCCCACGTGCTAGTAATTGTTGTTGTTGTTGTTGTTGTTGTTGTTGTTGTTGTTGTTGTTGTTGTTGTTGTTGTTGTTGTTGTTGTTGTTGTGCTGCTGCTGCTGCTGCTGTTGCTGTTGCTGTTGCTGTTGCTGCTGTTGCTGTTGCTGTTGCTTTTGTTGTGGAGAGAGACAAGTTTGCATTGCTGCCTGTGTGGTTGCTGTTGCTGTTGTTCTGTTGTGGTTGGCAGAGAGACAAGTTTGCATTTTTCGTGCACGGTCCGCCTGTAGGAGGACATGCCCGACCCACTCTAGCCCTCCTCGTGCACCTGGGCGCTCCTGGGGCCGATAAGGGGCTTCGTTCCTGATTTGGCGCTCCTTCTGGTGGCACCTTGACTGCAGACGCTCTCCTTCCGTGGTTCTTCCTCCAGCCCTCCTCGTGCACCTGGGCGCTCCTGGGGCCGATAGATGGCTTCGTTCCTGATTTGGCGCTTCTTCTGGTGGCACCTCGACTGCAGACGCTCTCCTTCCCTGGCTGTTCCTCCAGCCTTCTCTCCTGCACCTGGGCGCTCCTGGGGCCGACAAGGAGCTTCGTTCCTGATTCGGCGGTCCTTCTGGTACCTCGACTGCAGACGCTCTCCTTCCCTGGCTGTTCCTCCAGCCTTCTCTCCTGCACCTGGGCGCTCCTGGGGCCGACAAGGAGCTTCGTTCCTCATTCGGCTTTCCTTCTGGTTGTACCTCGACTGTCTACGCTCTCCTCTCGTGGCTGTTCTTCTAGCCCTCCTCGTACACCTGGGCGCTTCTGGGGCTGATAAGCGGCTTCGTTCCTATTTTGGCGTTCCTTCAGGTGGTACCTCAACTGTATACAGTCAACCCGTCTAGTAAGGATAGGCAATCTTCCCGAGGCTACCCTTGCATCCTTGCCCCTTCGGCCCATCCTTGGTAACTTTCGCTGGCCGACCTCGTTCGAACATCGTCAACATGGGCTTCCGAGGCCCTTGCATCTCGGGGGTGGACAGAACCCCCACCGTGACACGTCGATTAGTGAATTGTCCGTTTTCGGTTCTCGAGAGGGCGCCGCGGCCGTTATTTTCCAGGCTTGCGCCCGCCAGGTTTGGGCCCGAGGTCGTTTTAACTAAACCACGTTTTACCAAAGGGGATTCTGCTCATCCCCGATCCTCCACCCCGCCACTGTATCAACTTTTTACGTAACGCCGTTCTGGTTGCGGCTCACCTTTTCCTCTGCATGCTCCACTTGTTCTCCGTGGACCCGCTCTGCGCGTTCACTGTGCAGCTCTGGCGCTCGCGTGAAGGACCTCATGTTCCCACCGCGGCTCTTTCTTTCCCGCTTCTCCTCCCTGGCTGGCTCCTTCAGTGCCCCATTCGCCCCTGGAGCGCCCTTCCCGACGCTAGACTGGTGCCTGCCTCACTGGCGCCCGCCGACCCCCCCAACAAACCAAGATTTACCCGCCTTGCGACCTGCTTTTGTGCTCTCCGCCAGGCCCCGGTCTCCCCCATACGGCGTGCCCGCGTCGTGCCGACCAGCGGCGACCCCGCCGCCGGCGTTCGGCGCTGAGCGCCGCCAGCGACCCAGAATCGGTCGATGTTGAAGTGAGCCGCCGGCGTGCAGCGTCGAGCGCCGCCAGCCACCCAGAATCGGTCGATGTTGAGGCGACACGTCGTGGTCGCGCTCTCACACGGGGCTTCTGTCGTCTGCTGCTGTTTGTCTAGTGGGGCCAGGTGTTTGTCTGCCCAGGCCGGCGCCAGCAGCAAGCAGCAGCTGCGTCGCGATTCGTCCATCGGAGCTTCGTGCCCTCCATTCTCCTCCCTTGCAACAAAAAGCTCGTTCGATGTTGAACGAGCGGACGTTCCGGAACCCGCCGATCGTTCGAGTTTGAGGGACCCCATCGATGGCAGCAACCAGCGCCGAGGTCGGCACGACACGAACCTGCCGTACCTAGTGTCGGCCAGGCCCAGGCGGTTGTCCCCGAATGGTGGCTCGCTTGTTCCCTCCGCAGCAAGGGCTAGAGCAAGGCCAAGGGCCGGGGGCCACGCACCACCCCTGCAGAGGTGCTGCTCCACACGCCCGCGCGCCTCGCACGCAGGGACAGGAGGGAGGAGGGGGGGGTAGAGACAGGAGGGGAGGAGGGGGGGGGATAGGGTAGGAGGGACAGGAGGGGACAGGAGGGGACAGGAGGGGACAGGACCGTAGGGACAGGACAGGAGGGTCAGGAGGGGAGGAGGGGGGGGTGTAGGGTAGAGAGCCTTGTGACGGGGGTTCATGCAAGCGGGGGCAAACCAGGACGCCAGATCCTGCAGGACCTTGCAGGGCCGGGGGCGCAGTGACCTGGGCCAGCGCGCAGGGTCCTGCAGGATCTTGGAGGACCTGGCAGGATCCTGCAAAGCCCGACTGACCCGGTTTTGCATTGGCATGGGTCAGTGCGTCCCCGAAGGGGGGGGGTGTTCGGGAGGGGGAGCCACATGAGGGGAGTTGGGGCGGTGGTCTCTGTTCGGCGGAAAGGGTAGTGAGAAGGGGGGCCTTCGGAGCGAGGGCGCCTCAAGTGTGTGTGTGTGTACGCGTGTATATATATATATATATATGTGTATATGTATATATCTATATATATGTGTGTGTGTGTGTGTGTGTGCGCGTGTATGTGTGTGCGTGTGCGTGTGTGGGGATCTGCAGGGTCTCCCCCGTTTCGCTCGGCCCCCCCGTGCTTGCCGGGCCGAGCTCACGGGCACCCGCCTGCGCCAGGCCCGCAGCGCGCGCGCGCGCCAGGGTGTCCTTTCCCGCCTCCCCTCGCAGGCCCCGCCTTCGGGTCTTGCCCCCGTGGGGGGCACAGAGGCACGCGCGCGGCCATGCCCGCCGCACCCCGTCGAAAATGCCTCCGTCTTCTTCCCTTGCTCCCTCCCCCTCTTCCCCCTCGTTCTCTCTCTCTCTCTCTCCTCCCTCCTGCCTCTCCCCCCCGCTCCTCCCTCCTCCCTCCCCCCTTTTTGCGAGAGGGCTGCTCGAGTCGTGAGCTGGCAACTAGCACCTGTCCTTACACGACCCCCAGAACTCACGGGGTGGAGATCTCGGGGGTGGAGAGTGGTATGGGTGCGTGTTGTCGGTGGTCCCCGCTCGCATGGGAGCCCCCCTGTCGGGGTCCGACAACCCACACCCATACGCGCCTTCACATCGCGAGTCGCGTGTCAGCACCCGGTTGTTAGGTATGACAGCGGGTCTGCACCCCCTTGTTCATTATAGGAGGGGGCATCTGATCGAACGCATTCAGTCGAACCCCCACTCGCCCTCTCCCATCCCGCCTTTCCCTTCCACCGCCGCCGCCACCTCCGCAGTCGCAGCCGCCGCCGCCGCTGGCGCCGCCGCTGCCGTCGTCGTCGTCGTCGTCGTCGTCGTCGTCGTCGTCGTCGTCGTCGTCGTCGTCGTCGTCGTCGTTGTCGTCGTCGTCTTCGGCGTCGGCATCGTCGTTGTTGGCGTCGTCGTCGGCGTCGTCGTCGCCGTCTTCGGCGTCGGCATCGTCGTTGTCGGCGTCGTCGTCGTTTGCCTCGCGCCTCGCAGGCGGCCGACGAGGTGCAGATAGGGCCCTTTCCGAAGAAGAAGCAGACGTTTTGGGAGGTTCCTCTCCGCTGTGGGGGTGATCCAGCGGAGGAGGAGGACAAGGAGGAGGAGGAAACAGGAGGAAACAGGAGTTGGGGGAAGGAGGAGGATGAACAGATCATCATGATGCTGATGATGCTGATGATGGTGACGCCGCCGATGACGACGACGACGACGACGATGATGATGCTGATTCTGACGATGATGTGACAATGTTGATGGTGATGATGCTGCTGATGATGGTCATGATGAGGATAGTACTGATGATGAGGGTGATGCTGAAGTTGCTGCTGCTGCTGATGATGATGATGGTGATGGTGACGATGCTGATTATGGTGATTATGATGATGATGATGATGGTGATGGTGGTGATGATGATGATGATGATGATGACGATGCTGCTGATGATGCTGCTGATGATGATGATGATTTTGGCCAGGACCGAGATACTGATGATGATGATGGTGATGACGAGCATGGTGATCCTTATGATGATGACGATTATGATGATGATGATCAGGATGATGATGCTGATGATGATGATGTTCATGCTGCTGCTGCTCACGATGATGTTCATGCTGTTGCTGCTGATGATGATGACGCTGGTGATGATGATGATGATGATGATGATGATGATGATGATGATGATGATGATGATGATGATGATGATGATGAGCATGGCGATGACCACGATGCTGATGATGTTGATGCTGCTGGTGGTGATGATGCTGCTGCTGATGATGATGGTGATGCTGATGATGATGATGATGCTGATGATGATGATGATGATGCTGATGATGATGCTGATGATGATGATGATGATGATGATGATGATGATGATGATGATGATGATGATGTTGCTGCCCAGGAGGAGGTTGAGGATGCTGACGACGCCGACGACGATGATGATGATGCTGATGCTGATGCTGATGCTGATGACGACACTGATGACGACGACGATGGCGATGTTTACTATGATGATGCTGCTGCTGATGATGCTGATGTTCATGATGAAGATGCTGATGCTGCTGATGATGATGGTGGTGATGCTGGTGATGGTGATGATGACGACGATGCTTACTCTGATGATGCTGCTGATGATGATGATGATGATGATGATGATGATGATGATGATGATGATGATGATGATGATGATGATGATGATGAGGGAAGAGGAGGGGGAGGAGTAGGAGTAGGAGGAGGAGGAGGAGGATGAGGATGAGGAGGATGAGTTCGTTCTTGATCGCGCCTTGCTGCTTGTTTTTTTGGCAGCAGTCAGCAGCCCGACAGTGGCAACCCGCTGCCCTGGGTGGCTCCGCAATTTGCAGGTGACCTGCAAAGGAGGAGGAGGAGGAGGAGGAGGAGGAGGAGGAGGAGGAGGAGGAGGAGGGAGGAAGAGGAACAGGTGCAGGTGGAGGAGAGGACGAGAGGAGAGGAGGAGGGAGGAGGAGGAGGAGGAGAGGAGGAGGAGGAGGAGGAGGAGGAGGAGGAGGAGGGAGGAGGAGGAGGAGGAGGAGGAGGAGGAGGAAGAGGAACAGATGCAGGTGGGGGAGGAGGAGGAGGAGGATGAGGACGAGGAGGATGAGTATGATGATGCCGATGGATGGTGATGATGAGGAGAACGCTGAGACGGGAGCGTTGGCGTCCGTGCCCGCGCGTGGGCGCCTCGTTAGCGCCCTCGTGCGCCCACAACATTGGCTTACGCATCGCAGACACTGCTTGCACCACATCGCTCACAGCCTCACCCCGCACAGTTCGCACCTTCAGCTTACACAGCGTAGCTTTCTCCACATCGCTTACGCTGTGCAGCTTGCCCAACGCAGCTCATTCCAAACATCGTACACCGCAGAGCTCGCCTCACAAACTCAAGCCATGTATCCGACACACCAGAGTCTACACAGCAGAACGCGCAGGCCTACACAATGTAATTCGCAAACTTGAGCCACGTAGTTCATATCGCATAGCTCACACCGCATATCGTTCACCACTACAGTGCAATAACTCACTGTTTGGCGTCCCCGCTGGACGCTGGCTAACATTGCAACTTACTGCTCTCGTCTTAGCGTCACGCACACCCGCTCTGACGAATCCAACGCGCACACTGATGGAGTATGCTACCTGCTCAAAGTGTGGCTCTTGCCTCAGATCCGGTCGCGTTCGACTTCAAGTTTTTTCCAGTGTTGCACGGATGGAGTGTGCTACTTTCAGAAGGTTTACTGGTGCAGTATGTACACGGCTGTGGGGCGGTTCCGTTTAGAACCAGGGTTGTCGTTGGTCGTTTACTTGGACAGTGCGATCCTAGGCTCCGAGCCATAAAAGACGGATAGTACATTCTTTTCTGAGCAGGGCCTTCGCCTGAATATCAGGCGCATGGGTGCTCATCTTTCAAGGGGGCTTTCCCCCTTGTGAAAAGATCTGATTGCGGGTATTTCGTGAGGAGGGATTTGGGATGTTGTGTTGCAGCATTGTTTCTGCATCGTGTTTCTGTTGTGGTCCTCTTCTTCTTCTTCTTCCTCCATTCCTTCTCTTAGGATTAGCTCCTCCCTGTCGCAGCCCGAGGCCGGTCGAAAGAGCGGGGGGCGTCTCGCCTGGTACTCCCTCACCATGTATTATGATTCTGAAGCTTGAAATTTGCAACAGTTTCAATCATGGAGGGTGGGTGGTTTCAAAATGGGTCTTACGCTGCAGTGCCTTGCACACTCGTCTTACAAGTTTGCAGCAGTGTCACGGATGGAGGGTGGTTCCTTTTTAAATTGTGATTTTCGCAATTGCGCCCCGCACGTTTGTCTTAAGAGTTGACAGCAGTTTCAAGGATCCTCAGGGTTACATCCCCAAAATTATGATTTGGCACTATGTCGGAGTGTCAGGGCGCGACAGTTACGTCGATTCGTGGTGTTGAAGTCCCAGAATTTGTGCTCTGCACACGATTCAGGATCGTCAAGACGCAACGGTAGCTGTGATTCGCGGCGTTGAAGTCCCAGGGATGGTGTTCTGGCACAGTTCAGGATTTTCGACGATTGTCTTTCAACGGGGCCTGTTAAGAGGGAACTTGGAGGGAGTGTATATTGCAATATCGGTGACGATTCTTGAGTTTACACTGGTCCTCCTCCTCCTCTTCTTCCTCCTCCTCCTCCTCCTCTGACGTTGATCGGACTTCGTGCTCGAGCACGCAGCGCTCTTTCTCCTCCTCCTCCTCCTCCTCCTCCTCCCTCTGCTTTCCTTCTTCCCCCTCCTCCTTTGCTGCTCCTTTTCTTCCTTCCTGAATTCCTCCTTCCCCCCTCGCCCCTCTTCCTTCCCTCCCCCTTCCCTCCCCTTTCCCTCCCCTCCCCTGCCCCTCCTCCTCCTCCTCCTCCTCCTCCTCCTCCTCCTCCGCCCCCCCCCCCGCCAGAGGCCCCGAGGCCGTCAGTCTCTGATCGGAGGCCACGCCGGGCGCCTGTGCCCTCGATCGTGGGCAGCAGCCTGAGGCCTGAGCCCACCGCATCGGGACCTGCGGCAGAATACCACCTCCCTCCTCCTCCTCCTCCTCCTGAGCGTCTTTTGCCACCTTCTGCATCTCCTTTTCGTTTGTCTCCCCCTCCTCCTCCTCCTCCTCCTCCTCCTCCTCCTCCTCCTCCTCCTCCTCCTCCTCCTCCTCCTCCTCCTCACAGAGACATGCTGCTCACAGTTGCGCTGATCTTTGCCCCCCCAGGCCCCACAAGGGCGTGCACGGCTCGGCTGGTTCGGGGTCCTGTCGGTTCTCGTGTCGTTGCCGCTCCACTGCGCCCTCTCAGGCTGCCTTCGGCCTGTCGGTCTCGGTCGGTTTCGGTCTCGCTGCCGGCTCGGCCGATTTCCGCTTTTGTTGTCGCCGTGCGCGGCCGTGCCCCGGTGGGCCTCTCGAGGCGTGCCGTGCGCAGCGGCTTTGGGCGCAGTGCCGCTGTCCGATCGCTCCGCGCCCCGCTCTCACTGGGGTGGGCAGGCGCGGCGGTTGCGAGCCGGGCGCGTGGCGCGCGGCCCCTCCCTCGGAGGAGGAAGAGGTACCCCTCCGCCAGCCGCCTCGTTTTTTTTTTTTTTTTTTGTTTTGTTGTTTTTTTTTTGCATGGCGCACACCAACACCGCAGAGCGGATTTCGTTCGGAAAACGGCCGGATGGGCCTGGAGTGTCCTGGGGAATGTCGTTCCGGATTTCGAGGTGAATTTCGTGCGGATTTTTTTTTGGCCAGGAATGAAGACTGAAAAAGATCCGCGCGAAATTCACTTCGTTTTTCACTCGCCGTTCCGGTTTTGCATTGGCAGAAATCCACGCAAGATCCGCTGCAGCACGTTTGCAAGGTCGGTGCAGTGACTCTTTTGGGGCCTCCTGGGAGGCCCTCGTCGCCACCGCTGCATCTGCCTCGAGCTTCTTTTTGGGCACGGCGCACCCCGTTCCCCAGTCAGGAGCCCTCTGTGCCCACGCCCCCTGTTCTAGGGGGCGAGTTTTTTTTTCGGTCTCGGAGACGGCTCGGGAGGACGATCTTCTTCTGACCCTCGCAGGCGCAGGCGCTGGCTGTGGAGCGGAGGCTGTGGTCGTGAGCCTGGGGGCGTCGGGCTCTTTCGGTTTCAAACCGTGGGAGCCGTGTGTGCCCGCACAGTTCCGTCTTCGAGGTGCGCTGGCGTCGATGAGCGTCTGGTGATCTGTGATTCAGCGCCAACGCAGCGTCGATGAGCGCCGATCTAGCGCCGATTTCGCGTCGATTCGGCGTCGACCAGCGTCGATTTCGCAGGAGCCGACAAGCTGGCATGGTGGGCTCCCGTGCGCTGCCACCGACGGCTCCTGGAGGCTCGACGTGGCGGTGCCTTTGGGGGCCTTCTCCGTGGGGCCCGCCCGCAGACGGCCGCCTCGCTCGGAGGGCTGGCCGCTTCTGCTGCCCGGTGCTCGAGCAGCTCCCGGGCGCCTGCCATGGCAGCACCGGCCACCGCCCTTTTTGCGTGCCTCGTGGCACGGAGGCTTGGCACCGCTCGGGCGTGTGCACCTTTGCTCGGCGAGGGCCGCCCAGGATTGTGAGTCGGGCCTGTCCCTCTACAGGAGGAATATTCGAAAGTAGTCCCCAAACAGTCCGGGGTTGTCAGCCTTTTTTGGTTTCCATACACAGAAAATAACCAACAATATAAGATTTCCGCCCAAAGTCCGCCTGCAAGGGGACATGCCCGAGCTAAATTCAGGATCATCTTGCAAATGAAGGAGCGCACGAGACCGAAAAATACACCCGGAATGGACGTCCGAGCGATGGCACGCAGGCGGGGCTCGTGGTCGATTGCCGGTTGCAGCACGGACCGGGGGCTCGGGATCCGTTCGGCCCGTGGGGAGCGGGGCTTCGAGACCATCATTGTCGAGTGGACTCCTTCGATGCTCGTTTTGGGGACCTTTCTGGGGCACACCAAGTGGATCTGTTCGACTCCAGTTCGACTCCAGTCCAGTTCGACTCCAGTTCGACTCCAGTTCGACTCAAGTTCGACGCAAGTTCGACTCAGGTTCGACTCAGGTTCGACAAGAGTCGATGCACGTTCGACGCAGCCTCGCCGCACGAGCGGAGCGATTGGCTCCAGAAAGGTCCTCAGAATGAGCATCCGAGACTCCGTCCCACACCGGCTTGTCAGATTCAGCTCGCGACTCGCGGTTGCGTCTCAGGCCAGAGGCACTTCCCAGGCATGCTCGGCAGCAGGCGAGGTCTCCGAGCGGTATCTTCAGCCTGGTCTTAGGGCGGGCATGTCCTCCTGTACTCGGATTTTGCAAGACTCATTAGCAATATTCAAACAATATTCAAGATTGGTTGAAACATACTTGAAACATCGTCCCCAGACTATTTTATTACTATTCTTGAACATTCCTCCTGTCGAGTAGCATGCCCGACTTCAGCCTCGTCATACGTCGGACTGACGTGTGGGGCACTGGACTGCTCGTTCGTCGGGGAGGGAGCCCGTCGAGCCCTCGCAGATTCCATTCGGCTGCCGATCCCTTCCGACCCCGTGGGAAGGGAGAGTCTCAGAGCGCGCCTGCCGAGCTCCGTCCCTCTGAGCGGGGTGCTGCGCCCAGCTCCTGCCAGCTCCGACAGAGCGAGCCGGCCGAGCTCCTCGCTCTGAGCGGGGCGCCGCCTCCGGCCCCTGCTGCTCCCGGCGCGAGGGAGCCGTGCAGGTGGCACCGTGCGCGCCGCGGCCCCGGACCTCCATGCGGGGGCCGCTCTCGTGCAGCCTGCGGCCGGGCACGCGGCCAGCTGGCCTCCCGAGGCGGTCCCGCGTCGGTCCTTTCGGCACGTGCCCGGCGGCGGGAGAAGCCGTCGACCCCGCCCACGAGCGCGGATGTTGGGATCGGCGTAATTTGTGTGCTTGCCTCCACCGCGGCAGGTAGGCTTCGGTGGGCCCCGACAGTTCGCCCAGCCCTGTCTCCCAAATGCCGAGAAGGGCCAGGAAAGCCATGTCCGCATTGCCGCGGGTAAAAGGTCCCCGGCCCCGCGTGGCCGTCTTTTTCTGGGCAAGCTGTTTCGGAGTCACAGGAGCAGGACGTGCTGGCGGTCGGTGGCTCTGACTTGTCAGGCCACCAATGTCAGCTGACCACCTCAGTCGCTTGCGGCTTTTCCTCCCCGCCCTCCGCTTAGAGGGGGTGCATCGGTGGGGTGCCTTCGAGCTGCGGCTGAATGCACCATGGGCTCGGCACTTCATTGCCTTTCCTCCTTTCACCTCTTCATCTGCACGCTGTGCTTGGCAAAAACGCCCCAAACATCCCACCTCCTTCCTTTCCTCCTCCTCGTGCTCCCTGTCTCTCTCGTTTCCCTATCCTCCTCCTTCTCCTCGCCGCCCGCGGCCATCTTGGACCAGGCGGCTCTACGGGGGCGTTCTGCAGCCAGGCTGTCCTACCCTGCAGTCCCGGGCTGGCCTTCTGTTGAGGCTGGCTCGTGGGCTCGCCCCGGGCAACGGCGGGTGGTGCCACGACGCACCTGCTACTTCCGCCTCCCCGTGCCCGAGCCGTTGGTCAGCCCCGGCTCCGGTTGTAGCGGGCCCCCACCAAAGCGGCCGAGGAGGGTTGGGGAAGAAGGGGAGGAGTGAACTGGAGAAAGCCAGAAGGCGGAGGCGACGGGCTCGAGGCCCTGGCCGCCGGACCCCGCCTTTCGGCACACGCGCCCGCCAGACGGAAGGAACGAGGAAGGAACAGGGAAGAGGGGACGGAGGGGAAGGGATTGGAGGAGCGGGCCCAGCCAGCTCGGAGCCCGCAGCAGCTGGCCGCCCTGGTAGCCAGCGCCGTCCGCAGCCGCCAGGGGCGCGTGCCTGGCTCAGGCGCGCGCTTCTGGTTGTGGGCTCAGCGCCGCTGGCGCCGCGGCGGAGCGTCCCGCGCGCCGCGAGGTAGCCGGTAGCCTGCGAGGTAGACCTTGGCGTTGCCGCGCTTCGTCGCGGCCAACGCGTCGCAGTCGTTGCGCGCCCTGGGGCCTCCAGCGCGAAGGCTGTGAGCAACGGGCCCGGGTAGCGCCAGGGCTTGTGCTCCTCCGCGGCCGCCGCAGTGGACGGCGCTGCTCTAGCCCGCTGCAGTGCCCGCGCCGATGGCGGCGTCCGCCGTTGAAGCCCACGTCGAGGCGGGCGGCTTCAAGCGGTCGCGCGATCACAAGCGGTCTCAGGCAGGGGCGGCCCGCTTCGCGGCTGGCCAGGTGGCGCCGCGGGCCGCAGACGGCGCGCGAGCTAGTCCCAGACGCCGTCTTTGCGCGTGAGCGTGTTCGCGGCGACGAGCAGCCAGCTGGCGCCGCTCGCCCGCGCCAGCCGGCCCGCGCCAGCCGCCGGAGGCCTCCCACGCTCGCGGGCAAGGCCGCTGGGACGCCTTCAGGCCAGGCAAGCCCGCCAGGCCCCGACGTGCACCCTGCGAAATGCTTAAGAAATCATGGGTTAAGAAACTCAGAGTCTCAGAATTTGAATAAAAACCCAGAATTTCTATTGAAATCTTAGGATTTACATTGAAACCTCAAGAATAATCGAGACTCTGGCCGAAAACTTAAGTTTTCTTAAGCATCGCCTAGGGTACGCGGCGGCAGCAGGCGGCGCGCGATGCTGTGCAGCCCAAGCCCGCCCCCAGCACGTGGCAGGAAGGCTTGGCCGCGGGCGTCGGCACGGATTGCTTGGCTCGGCGACTACAAAGGGTGCGGTTACGCCGGGGTGTGGTTTGCGATCGGCGCCGTTGGGGCCTGGTGGGCACGACGCTGTCCTGGTCGGGCCTCCGCGGGGCGCGGCGGAGAGCTCCGTCCAGGCCCTCGCCCACCCTCCAGGGTGCCCCCCCAGGGTGCCGGTCGCAAACCACACCTTTTGCAAGCCACACCCGTCGGAGTCGCCGATTGCTTGCCAGTCACAGGCGCCCAAATCGCCGTTACGTGTCCGATATTTGCGGCGTCGTAGGCCTGACACCACACCTCGTGCAGCAGGTAGGCCCTCGCGTGGTGCAGGCCCGCGCGGTTGGCGAGGGCGTGGAAGATCGCGAGCTCGTCCTGCGCGCGCAGCCCAGCTCCACGGAGGTAGCAGAAGGCTGCACGGTAAGCGTCCAGGTGGTCCCGTATTGCCTGCGGCGCTGCAGCAGGTGAGAAGCTCGTCCGCGTGGGGTCGGCGCCCAGTGCTGCCCCAGCGACGCCGCGCACGCAGGACAGGGTGCTCCCCGCGCGCGTGAGGTTCGGGCACCGCTGCTCCCCTTCACCCTGCCTTCGTCCTGCTTCCCTCCTCCTTTTGCTCCCTCCCTCCCTCCCTCACTCCATTTGGCGGCGCGCACAAGGGGGGTAGGGGGAGGGGGCAAAGCTTCTTAGAAGGAGGCTGTTTCTTAGAAGGCGCCAGCCCAACATCTACAGACAAGGCCAGCGTCTTCTACGAAGCAGGGGTGCTTCAAGGGACCCTCCTCCCTTCCCCTGCCCCCCTCTGCGCGTGGCCGAAAAAAAAAGGCACGACGAGTCCACCTGGCTCATGAAAACCCTCGCGGCCTTGCGCGGCAACCTGAGACCCACTTTGCAGTAGATCCACGTCGGAGTCACGTCGGAGATACGTCGGGCTCACGTCGGGTGTACGCCCACCGGAACATCGCCCCTCTGCGCGTGGCTGATCCCTCTCCTCTCCTCTCGGGAAGACGCGACGGTCTGAAGAAGAAGCAGCGCGCGTGGCAGGCGGGCGCCGCCACGCCCTCCGCTGTCTCGGGCACCGCCGCTGCCCCCGCCCCGTTTGGCTCCAGAGGCCTGGTCACCCAGGCAGGCCGGCCAGCGCGAGTCACTCGCTTGCATGGCCGTCGTGGGAGAAAACCTCCCTCCTCCTCCCTCCTCCCCCCCTCCTCCTCCTCCTCCTCCTCCTCCTCCTCCTCCTCCTCCTCCTGCTCCTCCCCCTCCTCCTCCTCCTCCTCCTCCTCCTCCTCCTCCTCCTCCTCCTCCTCCTCCTCCTCCTCCTCCTCCTCCTCCTCCTCCTCCTCCTCCTCCTCCTCCCCCCCCCTTCCTCTGGGAAGGCCTCCGCCCTCCCCCCCCCTGTCGGCGCCTGGGGCCGGCGGGGCGCGGGGAGGTGGTGGACGCCCGGATGCCCATCCTGAAGTCGGCAAACTTTGAGGAACCGCCGCGGGGGGGGGGCAGGGGGTGGAGGGGGAGGGGGAGGACGGGGGAGGAGGACGGGGGGGGACGGGGGAGGAGGAGGACGGGGGAGGACGGGGGAGGAGGATGGGGGGATGGATTGGGATGAGGAGGGGGGAGCAGAGGGACGGATGGGGAGAGGAGGGGGAGGATGAGGAGGACGAGTAGGAGGAAGAGGATGAGGATGAGGATGATGATGCTGATGATGATGCTGATGATAATGATGCTGCTGCTGATGATGATGCTGATGTTGTTGTTGATGATGATGATGATGATGATGATGATGATGATGATAATGCTGCTGCTGATGATGATGCTGATGCTGATGATGCTGCTGCTGATGATGCTGATGATGATTGCGATGATTGACATGATGAGTATGATGATGCTGATGATGATGATCCTGAGGATGATTATGATGCTGGCAATGATAATGCTGATGATGCTGTTGCTGATGATTCTGCTGATGCTGATGGCTGATGATGACGATGACGATGATGATGAGGATGACGACGACGATGACGATGATGATGATGATGCTGCTGATGATGATGTTGACGATGATGATGCGAGCGATGATTTTGATGACGATGAGGATAATGCTGACGATGATGATGACGATCGTGATGATGCTGGTGATGCTGATGCTGATGATGCTGATGATGGCGACGATGATGTTGATGATTCTGATGATGACGATGATGATCATGATGATGCTGATGATGATGCTGCTGCTGATGATGATGACGATGCTGACGATGACATCGATGTTGTTGATGATGTCAATGCTGATGCTCACGATGAGGATAATAACCATACTGCTCCTGGTGATCATGATGACAATTCTGCTGCTGCTGCGAATGATGATGATGATGATGATGATGATGATGATGATGATGATGATGATGATGATGATGATGATGATGATGATGAGTATGACAATGAGTATGAGTATGAGTATGAGTATGAGTATGAGTATGAGTATGCTGACGATGGTGCTGCTGCTGATCAGTATGAGTAGGACGATGATGACGATGATGATGATGGTGGTGGTGATGATGATTGTGATGATGCTGATGCTGATGCTGATGCTGATGTTGATGATGCTGATGACCATGTGCATAACTATCATTATTATTAGTATTATCATTATTATCATTATTAGTATTATGGTTAATATTATTAGTATTACTACTATTATTAGTATTTGTAGCATGATTACAAGGTTGCTAACGATGATGATGATCACGAGGATGATGATGCTTGCAATGTTAATGACGATGATGATGCTGATGATGATGGTAACGATTATTATGATGATGTTGATGATGATGACTATGATGATGATGATGATAATGATGATGCTCATGGTGGTGATGGTGATGGTGGTGGTGATTGTGATGGTGAGTGTGATGATGCTGATGATGATGATGATGATGATGATGATGATGATGATGATGATGCTGATGATGATGATGATGATGATGATGATGATGATGATGATGATGATGATAATAATAATACTTCCCCAACCATAGCTTGCCTGTGTAGGGGTCCTAGCGGGTTCATATGATTAGGTGAGGTTTGTCACCGATTTCCGCGGCCCGCCCGGGTGCTCGGGTGCTTTATAGCCTTATAGCCTTATAGCCCTAGCCTTATAGCCTTGTAGCCTTATAGCCCCATAGACCAATAGCCCTACAGCCCTATAGCCCAATAGCCCAATAGCCCTATAGCCCTGTAGCCCTGTAGCCTTACGGCCTTGTAGCCCTATAGCTCTATCGCCCTGGATCCCTATAACTCTATAGCCCTACAGCCCTATAGCCCTATAGCCCTATAGCCCTACAGCCCTATAGCCCTATAGCCCTATAGGCCAAAACCCTAATAGCCCCACAGTCCTATAGCCCTATAGCCCTATAGCCCTATTAGACCAATAGCCCTATAGGCCTATAGCCCTATATCCCCATAGCCCTACAGCCCTATCGCCTGATCGCATTATAGCCCTATATCCCTATAGCCCTATAGCCCCATAGCCCTATATCCCTATATCCCTATAGCCCTACAGCCCCATAGCCCTATATCACTATAGCCCTTTAGCCCTATGGTCCTATAGCCCGAAAGCCCGATAGCCTTATAGACTCATAGCCCTATGGCCCCATAGCCCTATAGCCCGATAGCCCCAGAGTCCCACAGCCCCATAGCCCTCTAGCCCTATAGCCCTGTAGCCCTATGGCCCTATAGCCCTATAGCCCTACAGCCCTATAGCCCAATAGCTCTATAGTCCCACAACCCTATAGCCCTATAGTCCTATGGTCCTATAGCCCTATAGCCCTCTGGCCGTATATCCCTATAGTTCCATTGCCCTATAGCTCCATAGCTCCATCGCCCTATAGCCCAATAGCCCCATAGCCCTATAGCCCTAAACAGACTTTGCTTTGGGGTTTCTTCGGTATCATGATGATGTTGATGCTGCTGCTGATCATGATGGTGCTGATGATGATGCTGATGCTGATGCTGATGCTGATGCTGATGCTGATGCTGATGCTGCTGCTGCTGCTGCTGCTGCTGATGATGATGATGATGATGATGATGATGATGATGATGATGATACTGTTGATGCTGATAATGATGCTACTGCTCATGCTAGTGCTGATTCTGCTGCTGCTGCTGCTGATGATGGTTATGATGATGAGGAGGAGGAGTATGAGGAGGAGGAGGATGAGGAAAGTGATGATGAGGATGATTAGGATAATGCAACATGGAGACAGTGAGGAATAACACATGCGTCATGAAATGTGCGGGTCTGTCCTGAAGGGTGCTGGAGTGACCGGGGACACCCGTCGAACATTTTCCAACACGTGGCCCCTAGGAGTCCAGTCCTGTCCCCCAGGAGTCCTGGTTATCTTTTTGAACGTCCCTGGGGCCCGAAGCGAGCCCCGAACGTCCCGCAGCTTGGCAAAAAACGACCGTCGTGTGAGCATGCGCTGCTCTTAGACGTAGTTTTTGCCCGACCCTATCGCCCGTCATCGTGGGTCGTTGTCTGACGGTCCCAATGCTTAAAAGCAGCTCCGTGCTGCCGAGATCGCAGCGGCAAGACGAACAAAGGAGGAGCAGGAGGAGGAGGAAGAGGAGGAGGAGAAGGCCTTGGAGGAGCAGGAGGAGGAGGAGGAGGAGGAGGAGGAGGAGGAGGAGGAGGAGGAGGAGGAGGAGGAGGAGGAGGAGGGGGAGGAGCAGGAGGAGGATGATGAAGATGAAGAGGGGGAGCAGCAGGGAGGAGGAGGAGGAGGAGGAGGAGGAGGAGGTGGAGGAGGAGGAGGAGGAGGAGGAGAAAGGGGGAGCATTAGAAGGATGAGAAGGAGGAGGAGGGGGAGGAGCAGGAGGAGTAGGAGAAGGAGGAGGAGAAGAAGGAGGGGGAGGAGGTCGGGGAGATCGGCGTTGTGTTCACAGCACCTAATCAACCCTTGCTGTACCATGAAGGCGGGCGACACGGCAGAGTTTGGCGAGGGGGGGGGCATGCAACGAGGCGGGCGGGACCTATCACCTGGGTGTGCACGGCACTTGACCAACTCTCGCAGTTGTGGGGTCGCCGGGTGTGCGCAGCACATGCAAATCTTTCGCAGTACCCATTTTGTGGTCCACCTCTTCCTCCTCCTCTGACTCTTCCCTCCTCTTTTTGATCCAGGGCCTCGCTGCGGCTCTCGTGCTTCGGAGCCGTTGAGAAGAACAAGAGGAGGAGGAGGAGGAGGAGGAGGAGGAGGAGGAGGAGGAGGAGGAGGAGGAGGAGGAGGAGGAGGAGGAGGGAGGATGTCAGTCGGTCTGTCGGTCGAGGACCTTGAGTGGCTCAGTCAGCTGAGCTCTGCCCGGGAGGTAATGGGCCACAATGGCAACCTCCAGCCCAGAGGCATGGGCTGCTCGCCTCGAGAGCCCACCAATCGCACGGGCCGCATGCCTTGACCTTCGCGCCTCCATTGCCCATTCCAAGCATCCTATTCGTCGCCTTGGCGTGACGACATGAAACCACTTGAGCGACGCAACCTGAGAGATGTACAAATCCCGGTCAGGAATTCGAGCCACACTTTCTTCAGGCATGCGTGCTACACTAATGCCCTTCTGAGCGCCACCACTACCTCTTGCCCTTTCTCCGCCTCCTCCTCCTCCGCCTCATCAATCATCATCATCATCATCATCATCATCATCATCATCATCATCATCATCATCATCATCATCATCATCATCATCATCATCATCATCATCATCATCATCATCATCATCACCATCATCATCATCATCATCATCATCGTCATCATCGTCATCCCTTGTCGGCTCGCCTCGGCCTCTTTGACGCGCCCGTGCGCGAGGTCTGGACAACTTCCAGGCGCCGTGCCCCGCGGCTGCAGAGTGTTCCTTTCCCACCGCCGCCCCGCTTGAGCTCGGGTGGCTAGCTTAGTGCAGACTTCGGCCTTGATCGATCGATCGGTCTTCCCCCTCTCGTCCTCCCTCCCTGCTGCTGCTTGTTGCGTCCCCTTGGCGTCACACGATGCTGGGTTTGTCTCGGTGGGAATATTCCCACAGGCGCCCGAGACATTGTGCTGTCGCTAGACCGTGCCGTCTGGCACTCGTGTAGATGCTGACTGTTGGACTTCATCAGTTGTTAATGGGTCATTGCCATCGGTCCCGTGCTGGAGGAAATCATCGTCATCATCGTCATCATCATCAGCATCATTGTCGTTTTCACCGTCGTCATCATCGTCACCGTCGACGCCATCATCAACACTATCATCATCTTCACCATCATCACCTTCGCTAGCGTCATCCTGTCTCCAGTCCCTCTTTGTCGCTCGTCTGCCAGCCTTCTCTTCTTCGTTGTCCTTCTCATCGCCTGCCTCGTCCTGCTCATCCTCCTCCCTCCCCTTCTCGTCCTCGTCGCCTTCCCCCTTCTCTCTCTCTCTCGCCCTCTCTTCTACTCTCCTTTCTTCGCGCTCCCAACCTCACCCCTTGCGGGCCGTGGGCGTGGAAACACGTGCCTGGCGCCTGCGCCGGGTGCGTGTTGGGCCCCTCCCTTCCGCTCGCGTACCTTTACGGTGAAAAATCCGCCGACCAGAAGTTGGGTGCCCACCTGGGGGCCGTTGACGCGTGAAAGTACGCGCCCCGCGCGCTCGCGCCAGGCGCGCGTTGGGTCCCCCTCTCCGTGCGCGCGTTTGTGCGCGTGAAGAATCCGCTGACTGGAACTTGGGCCCCCCCCTCGTGGCCGTGGACATGTGGGAGCACGTGCTCCGCGTGCGCGCGCCGCGCGGACGTTGGCCCGCCCTTCTGCGCGCGTATTCTTGCGCGTGAAGCGCCCGCCGACATCTGGAAACGCGTGCCCCGCGCGCGCGCGTCAAACGCATGTTGGCCCCCCCCCCCTCCTTGGACGTAGTTATTTTTACGCGTGGAGAGCCCGCCGACCCGAAGTGGGGCCCCCCCCGGGGGCCGTGGGCATTTTTGGTCTGCGGGGCGAGAGCGAACCTCTTCCGCTAAAAGCTACGCGGGCTACGCACAGCTTTAGTTACGGAGACAGGGCACAGGAAGGCGGGGCCTCAGGCGGCCGGAGCGGGCGGAACCCGGGGTGCAGGCGGTGCCGAAGAGCTTGCACAGGAAAAGGTACGCCGCGGACAGGCCGGGGGCGAAAATGGGGGCCGTGGACGTGCGAAGACACGTTCCCCGCGCGCACGAGCCAGGCTCATGTTGGGTCCCCCCTTTCCGCGCGCGCATTTTTACGTGTGTAGACTCCGCCGGCCAGAAGTTGGGCACCCCCGAGTTTGTGGAGCGGGCTTTCTGGTCGCGATGCGATAGCGGCTGCTCGCGCGCTTGGATTTTCCCTTGGTCCGCGCACCAAAGGTTATTCTTGCCCAGGGTCACTCTTTGCGTGTAGCCGAAATCATGCGAGTCTCGTGTGCCTTCGCAATTCCTTTGTTACGGTGCGTCAGTGTCGATTAGCGTAACGCGCCGACTTAGCGTCGATTTATCGTCTACCAGCGTCGATTCGCGTCGGTTCGCAAGAACCAGCAAAAATTTAAGGGAGGCTCCCATGAGTTGCCAATGAAAGCCCCCTCAGACCTCCAGTTGTGTGGTCGTTCGCGAGAGCCTCAGAGGGTCCCCGCAGTCCCTGCGGTTTTGGGGATCTCGTCCAGACTTCGTCGTATTGTGAAGGCCTCACGGCCAGTGCCGCCGACCCTAAATTGCGACGACGACGACGGCGACGACGACGGCGACGACGACGACGACGACGATGACGACGACGACGAGCGCTCTCGGGTGCCCCTTGGGGGTAGTTTGGGGGCCTCTTGGGAGACTCTTGGGGGCCGCTTGGCAGCCTCGTGGGGGCCAATTGGGGCTTCCTGGGGGTCTCTTGGGGGCCTCTTGGAGCCTCTTGGGGGGCTTCTTAGGGGCCTCTGGGGGCCTCCGGGGAGCTTCTCAGGCCGAGGGCTCGAAATGATGTTCGGGTCCCTCGTCTGGGTTCCCTCTTGGAGCCGTCTTGGGGGCCTCTTCGGCTGTCTTGGAGGCCTCTTGGAGGCTCTTGGGCAATCTTGGGGCGGTCTGGGGGGCGTCTTGGAGCGTCGGGAAGCTGACAAGGCGAGAATGCCGAAATCTTTCAAAAAACCTAACGGAACTCGATGATTTTTGCCTGTTGGGGCCCTCTTGGAAGTCCTCTTGGAGGCCTCTTGGGGCGTTTTGGGAACGTTTCGAGAAGTCTGGAGGCTACTGTGGCGGCTTGGACAAATACTTAGGCGATTCGGGGCCTTCGAGCACCGTCTTGGGGGCATCTTGGGGCACTCTTGCGTTCTTGGGGCTTTTCTGGGCCCCTGCACCGCCCAGGGGGGAGTGGTATCTGGGTGGCGACCCCCCCCCGGGACCCCTCGGGGACCCCCCTGGGCCCCCCCAGAACCCCCCCGGGACCCCCCTCCCTGTCCCGACGGGGGAGGGATCAAAGGGAAGGGGCTTCCCTTCGACTCAAGTACAACGGGCCTAAGGAAAGGAGAGGGGAGCGGCGAAGGCGACGACGACGACGAGGACGAGGACGACGAGGACGAGGACGAGGACGAGGACGGCGACGACGACGACGACGACGACGACGACGACGACGACGACGACGGACAACGATTACGACGACGACGACGAGTTAAACGGAACAGCCTCTTCCATACGCCGACAGGGTCGGCCCATTTGGTCGACAGTTGGACGAATTTTGGGCGAGATCCGGACGACAGGGTCGAGAGGGGCGGTCGGAATCTGCACGGGCTCCGGTCGAATTCACGTTTCTCCTGATCGGGCCGCGGAGGTCCACAGAGGCTCGCATGAAGGCCCACCGCCCGACTCCGGGGCCGCGATCTGCTTCAGGACGTGTGCCCCTCGAGCTCTCGATCTCCGGGTCCGGGGCACTGGCTTGTTTGAAGTCGGGCCTGTCCCTCTACAGGAGCAATTTTCTTAGTAGTCGCAAAATAGTATGAGGACAATTGTTTCAAGCATTTTTGACTAGTTGGGGGTATTTTTGGAGTATTTTTCACTTTTCGTCCAAAACCCCCCTGTAGGGGGACAGGCCCGACTTAAGGCTTGTTGTGCGGATCGTTGATCTGACGTGTCCCGTGTCCCCAGTTCGGCGATTACAAAGGGTATGCTTACGCCGGGGTGTGGTTTGCGATCGGCACTGCTGGGGTCCGGGGAGCACGGCACTGTCCTCGCTGGGCCTCCTCGGGGCGCGGCGGAGAGCTCTGTCGAGGTCCCCGCCCGCCCCCCAGGGTGCCCCCCAGGGTGCCGGTTGCAAACCACACCCCTTGAAGACCGCACCCTCGGGAGTCGCCGACCAGCGTCCCGCCGGACAATGTGCATGTTGGTTGCCCCAATTAGCCCCACGCTGGTGCGGGCTGCCTCTGCCTCGCCGCAGACGAAAGAAAAACGTCCCGTGCTCCAGCGGCCTCGACTTGTTCGTGATGCCGTAGGCTCGTGGCCCCCCCCTCGAGAGTGGAGCCTTGGACCTGCCCAGAAATTCGAGGCGCGTGCGGGTGTGGTGACAAGGAGGCCCAGGAAAGGTTGCAAGCGTTGAAAAGCCTGGATCACCGATCCTGGACAGTCCATGCTCTCGATCCTGGACGTCTCGATCTTCGAGTCTGGCTCGTGAATCCTGGATCCCGGCATCCTCGATGCTGGTTCCTCGGCCCTGGATCCCGAATATTGGATCCTGGATCCTCGGGCCTCGATTCCCAATCTCGCGACGCTGGAAGCTTGGGCCCCGTCCGCGCGCGGCGCGCAGCTCGCTCGTCTTCCTCTTCGCAGCCGTCGCCGTCGCCGTCGCCGTCGCCGCCGCCGTCGTCCGCGGCCGCGCGGCCGCGCGGCGCGAGAAGCGCGTGCGGCGCGAGAAGCGCGTGCGGGCCTGGGCGCGGGAGGCCATCATCGGGCTGGGCCCGCCCGAGACGCCCGCGGCGGACTCGTGGGCGGAGGCGCCCTCCCAACCCTGTTCCTCCTCCTCCTCCTCCACCTGCTCCTCCTCGTCTTCTTCCCCGTCCTCCTCCTCCTCGTCCTCGTCCTCCTCGATCTCGTCCTCGTCCTCGTCCTCGTCCTGGTCCTCGTCCTCCTCCTCTCGTGGGCGAGAGGTGTTGCTCGATCGGCGGCGAGCGAGGGGGGGAAGCGAGCAGGAGAAGCCCGAGGGGCACGGCCTGTATACCCCCCCCTCTGGGGCAGGCCAGATCAGCCAGTGGGGCCCAGGCCGCGCCGTTGGGGATGTGGGGTCGGATGCACGATGCTCCTCCTCCTCCTCGTCGTCCTCATCCTCGTCGTCCTCCTCTCGTGGGCTCGGGGTGTTGTTCGATCGTCGGCGAGCGAGGGGGGGAAATGAGAAGGAGAAGGCCTTCTCAGAAGGTGGCGGACTGAGAAGTTTCCTCGGTGTCTTCGGGTGGAGCTTCTCAGAAGGCCAGGGGACTTCCGAGCCTTCTGAGAAGGCCCGCACCTTCTCACGCCCCCCCCCCGGGCTCGCCGCCGAGTGCTGTTGAAGATTCGAGTTAGGATGTTCCAACCTACTTGAGCCTTAACCACCAGGAAGAATTTCGAGCACCAGGAAAGTGCCCAAACTGGAGGGTTTTCACGTGTCGGGCCCTGGGAGGCGATACTCGCTCGACACTGTTTCGATGATTACTTTTCTGGGTGCTCGAGATTAATTCTGGGATGTGGTCCTCAAGTACGATGGGAGCAACCTGAGGTTCGATGTTTCCCAGGAGGGGAACAACCACACGGACACAACTCATCGTCGACTCCCCAGGAAAACATGGGAAAATATGGGAAGTGGGGGGAAGACAAAAACCCAGAAAATATGGGAACATATGGGGAATCCTGCTGTTTGTGTCTGCTTAAATATGGGAAAATGTGGGAAGCGGGGGAGAAAACAAAAACCCAGAAACTATGGGACAAGATGGGGAATCCTGTTATCTGTGTCTATTTTTTTTGTGTGTCCCAGGGCCCCTTCAGTTTTCCTGCGTTGTCGTGGGCGCCTGCGGTCTTGCCTGCCTCGGGGTGCGGCTCCAGCAGCTGCGCCCCGACGAGGGCGTCTCGGGGTGCCTCGGGTCGTCCCGGGCGGCCGCCAGGAGGGTCGCCGTGACCTGAGCACTCGAGGGGCAGCGTTGGGACGGGATAGGCTGAAGTCAGGAGGGAACAACAACACACAGACACAATTAATCGTCGATTCCCAGGAAAACATGCGAAAATATGGGAAGTGGGGGGGGAGACGAACACCCCCAACATATAGAAACATATGGTGAATCCTGCTATTTGTGTGTATTTATTTGTGTGTCCCAGGGCCCCATTCATGAAGTCGGGCATGTCCCTCTACAGGAAGAAATTCAAGAAGAGTCAAAAACTAGTCTGGGGGCGATTCTTCCGATTACTGTTGCCTATTCTGGAGTATTTGTGGGCTATTCTTCATGTTTCGTTCAAAATCCGCCTGGAGGGGGACATGCCCGACCTCAGGATAGGCTCATGGGGGTGAAGCATCGACCACCAATCGCCTGTTCATCGCATGATGATGCAGTGGGGGTCCATGCCAAGAAACACCCTGCTTGCTTCCAGGGTGCCCCGGGTTTCTTGGGTTTCGATGGTTTTTGCAATGGAAAGCGTGACGTTCCCGCACCAAAAATCCATAAACGTCCTGGGGTCTCAGGATTGGTTTCTTGGTGGAATGTTTCTTTTGGACGGGCCTCCACTTTACCAGGAAGCTGGCTACGCCCGACGCGGCTGGCCTGGGCGAGCGCTGGACCCACACGCCGGTGGCCACAGCTCTCTTTCCAGCCCTCGGCCCTCGTGTTAAGTCGGCGTGTCCCTATACAGGAGGAGTAGTCAAAAATCGTAAACAAAAATAGTCAGGGGACGATTTTTTGATTATTATCCGATCTTTTTGAGTATTTGTGGGCTTTTTCAATTTTTTCGTCAAACATCCGCCTGTAGGAGGACATGCCCGACCTAACACCCTCGTGTTGCCAGGCACGGTGGTCCTCCACAGGTGTGCTCCGCAAGTGGTCTGCAGATGCTACACCTGTGAATCCAGCCTTAAGTCGGGCATGTCCCTCGACAGGAGGGAGAGTCGAGAATGATAGAGAAGGAGTCTGAGGGCGATTAGTCGGGCTAGTTGGACTACTTTCGATCATTTCTGGATTCTTTCTCCACCGAAGATCCGCCTGTGGGAGGACATGCCCGACCTGACTCCAGCCACGCATGCTTCCAGCTGCCCGGTGGAGCATTTCTCGGTCCGGCCTCCTCCCCTCCCCTCCCCTCCTCTTGCTCGCCCCTCGGCCCCCCGGCTCTTCCGCGCCAGGGGGTTTCTCGCTCGTCCCCCTGCTGGAGGGGCGACGGCGGCTCTGCGGCAGCACGGCCTTGCGATTCCCCGTTGTGTTGTCCGAACTACTTGTGGTGTCGGCTCGCCGGGGTCCTCGTTGCCGTAGAGCAACAAAGTCGCCCATCCATCGCCGAGAAGGGCCTGCCAGCCCACCCCGCCCAGGCACGTGCGGATCCTCTTGGTGGTTTCTCGGGGGCCCCTGGGAGCCTCTCCTGGGCCCTCTGGAGGCCATGTTGAGCCTTTTGGATGGCTTGTTGAAGCCCCCAGGGGCCCCAGAGGCTGAGATCACACATTTTCCATACTCTTCGAGGGAGGCCTCTCCCAGGCCCGGCGGCGGCGCGGCAGAGCGGCCCTGCAGCGCTCACCATGGTGATCTGGCCCGATTTGGTCCAGGAGTGCGACTCACCATGATGTTTTAGCTCGATTGCAGCCCTCGTAGAGCCAGAGATGGGACCCAGTATGGTATCCTCGTCCGATTTGGCTTAGGAATGTGACTCGCTGTGCTTTGCGTATGTTGTGTTTTACGTATGACTCGCTGTGTTTTACGTTGTTTTTTACGTTTACGCCAAAAGGAAATTCGGATACCCATTTTCAATAGACAGAGCAGAGATCGGCAGGTTTTCAGCTGGCGCCACACTCTTCGCATCCATGGTAGTCCGCCAACATGTGGATCACTTCAAGCATTCAACTTTTCCATTGGTAACTGTCGCGGGGGGAAAAAACGTATGTTCCTTTTTTTGGTTCTCTCTCTCTCTCTCTCTCTATATATATATATGTTGTCTCTTTCCTGGGGCTCGAGTGTTTTACGTATGTTCCAATCGATTGCCCGTGTCCAGGGGCTCGAGACCACTGCGTTTTAAGCCAGTTCCTATAGAGTGCCCCTTTCCTGGGGCTCGAACCTTTGTGTTGTACGTGTGTTCCTATAGTTTGCCCCTTTCCTGGGGCTCGAATCCTATGTGTTGTGCGTCAGTTCCTATAGCGTGCCCATTTCCCGCGGCTCGAACCCTCTGCCAAACACACACGCCTGCCCCCACGTGTGTAGCGTATGTTCCTATAGTGCGGCAGGCAGAGATGGCTGCTGTTTCCATCATGTGGTCCGTCTTCGGATCGTGTCGACGCCGATCTTGGACTTGGTCTGTGCCGGCCGCCGCCGAATTGCGAGGATGAGCCACGAGCGGACGCTGACCAGTATGGACGGTGACCAAGGTCGACACGAAGTCTACGCTCGCAGTCTTGATCCAAGGGCAGGAAAAACGCCCCTACCCTGGTTTACGAGGCGCTGTGCTCTGAAACTCCTGTGGGCTGACAGGGTGAACCCTGCGTAATGTGCCGCGTCCTGGCGGCTCTAGGCTTTGGGGGTTCCCGGGAGTTTTACAGACCACGCACTTGTAACCCAGGGTGGGTCGTTTTTTCATCCCTCAATTGATCCTGGTCTCCGTTTCTCCCCTCCGCTCCCTGCCTGCCCTGCCCCCCCCGCCCACCTCCGCCGGTCGTCACGGGGAGCCCCCGTCGCCACGGCTCGATCCTCCTCGAGACTCTGGCCAGGGCGCACCAGAGGAGAGGCAATGGGGCGCCGCGGTGTCGGTCCCCTTCCGTCCCCGCCCCTCCTGCCTCTCCCCCCCTCCCCTGCGCATTCTTCCGTCCTCCTGCCTCCGCTGCTGCTTGCGACGCCATCGTGGAGGTGTGGGGGATGGGAGGAGGGAGGGAGGTTCCCTTTCAGACAGCCGGGGGTTCCCGGACCTCGTCTCGCTCTCTGCTTTCCCTTACCCTCCTGATTCGGGCTGGGGGGGGTGAGATGCGGTGCACTGTGGAGGTCGGCTCCTCTTCGAGTGCGAGTGAGCTGCATTGTGGTGGCAGGCTCGGGGGGGGTGATGAGCTGCACTGGTGGCAGGCTCGAGTACGAGCGAGCTCTCAGGCACGGCGGGCGTCCTGAGCTGTGGTGCTATATATCACCCCCCCGCGGGGGCTGCCTTCGTCGGGAACCTTGTGCTGTCTCCGTGGATCGCCGATCCGATGGCCCGGGCCACGCCCGTGGGGATGGGGATCCGTGAAGCAGTGCTCGTCCCCAGACATCCGACTGCTCCACTTTTTCGGATGCGTGGGCCCCGGAGGTCCAGACCACTTCCCCAGGGGCCGGTGTTCTGTCCCGCGTCGTTCTTCGACGCTCCCGAGGCCCGGCGAGGGCCCCCCCGGAGGCCGCAAACAGCCCAACACCGCCCGCTCTAAGATTTGTTTGAGCGTCGGGTCTTTGGGCCCTCCCACCCTCCGCCAGCTCTACAGGAGGAAGATTCACATCAACAATAGTTAAAAAAGTCTGGGGACGGTCTTTTCAGTACTCTTGACTATTTTGGGGTATTTTTTGGAGCCTTTTTAATCTCTCCCCCCAAAATCCGCCTGTGCCCGACCTAACGCCAGGTGCAGACCGCTCTGACTGGGATCAACAAGTACTACGCGGAAGCCAGGCGCCGCGGGCTGCCCCCCTCGCCGTCCGCCATCGGTCCCTCCCCCCCCCTCGGCCCCTTTCCCCCCCCCCCTGGGGCCCAGCTCTCTGCGGCTGCCCCGTGTGGGGGCCGCTCTCGTTTTCTCACCGACCTCGGCATGATGCGCCGGACTGACCTTGACGATTTGACGATTTGACGATTCGGAGGGCCAAGTCTACCTGCTTCCAGAACGCGAATCTCTGGGGCCAGTGCCAAATACTGTTCCCACGTTCCAGCCACAAGCGTTTATGGAAACATTGGGTGCCGTGACGTCTATAGACGCATGGGGGGGTGGATACGTCTATGGATAACTCGGCCGGTGCGTTCGGCGCAGTACAGGGTCGAAGAAAGGGTAGAACCGTCTACGGTATGTTCTTGTTCTAGAGCCGGTCCCACAAGGTGCTCCAAGTGATGACCAGGAGTCGACTACATGTGAGATGACCCTTTTCGCTCGAGTGACCTGTGGTGCGCGGCCACTGGGGCCCTCCGATCGTCGCGTGCGGTGCCTCCGCGGCCCTCCAAGAAGCCGCGCACCCGAGGTCACTCTTACCCAGGGTCACCCTTGCAGGTAGCCGAACGAGAACAGGCCCCCGCTGGCTCAAGTTGGACTCCGATCTCGGTGGATTTTCGTGTGCATCAGGGCCTGGGGCCTCGAATGGGCCCATGTCGGCCACGCCTAGAGGGGAGGTAGGGAGAGGGGGGAAGCCTTTTTTGGAAGCACCCCTAAAAGGCGCGGGCCTTGTCTGTAGGTGCAGGGCTCGCGCCTTCTAAGAAGCAGCCTCCTTCTAAGAAGCCTTCTCCCTCCCCCATACCCCCCTCTGCGCGCCGCCAAAACAGGCCTCCGCTGGCTCAAGTTGGGCTCCGATCTCGGTGGATGTCCATGTGGACCAGGGCCTGGGGCCTCGAATGGGCCTATCGACGTTCGGTGGGGCTGGATTCTTCGTTCGATGTCCTGGAGGAGGGCTTTTCAGGCAGGCTTGTGAGCGGTGTATCGTTCTGCCAAGAGTCGCGCGTCGAGGTCGAGCTGCGGCTTTCTAGTGTGGTTTTGGTAGGCGTCGGGCCTTGTGCCATGGACGATGATCTGGGTGCCCGTGCACGCTGTTTTCCAGCCCACTCGACGGTGGCACTGTTGATGGTGGTATTTCCAGTTTTGTGGATCCCAGCAGACTTTTCACGTCCGGCAGCTCTCTCAATAAACTCGGTGCGACCCCAATTAGGGTTTCTTTACCGCGAATGGTATCATAGGTAAAGCAATGCGTTGCAATGCAAAGCTATGCGCTGCACTGCTTGGTATTGTTTGGCATTGTTTTCTGAGCAATGCAAAGCAATGCATTGCAATACAATGCAAAGCACAGCATTGCATTGTTTGGCTTTACCTGGCACTGATTTCTTCTTGGTTTTGCTTGGCGTTGCTTGGTATGGCTTGGCAGTGCATGGCATTGCCTTGCATTGCTTGGCATTGCTTGGCATTGCTTGGCATTGCTTGACATCGCTTAGGATGGCCTGATATTGTTTGTCATTGCTTGGCGTTGCCTGACATTGCTTGGTATTAAGTGGCGTTGCTGGGCATTGCTTGGCATTGCTTTCTGCTTGACACTGCTTGGCATTGCATGGCATTGCTTGGCACTGCTTGGTATTTCTTGATATTGCTTGACATCGCTTGGCATTGCTTTGCATTGATTGGCATTGCGTGGCGTTGCTTGGCATTGCTTAGCTTTGCTTGGCGTTGCTTGGCATTGCTTGATATTGCTTGACATTATGTGGCGTTGCCTGGCATGGCTTGGCTGCGGCTATTTGCGTGCGACGTGGACGACACAGCGTCCATGCTGAAAACAAGCGTAGATTTCGTATATGGCTACATATACACAAAACATGCTGTTCCTCCAGAGTAAGATGCGACGTACCGGATTAGGGGAGCGAGTAATGACACAAACATCAAAAAACTCGGAGGTCCGCGCGCGGATTCCTCGGATCCGCGCTGCGCCTCCGGCGCCGCCCCTGGCGCCTCCGCGCGCCAGGGAGGGGGGGGCCCGGCGCGGATCCGAGAAATCCGCGCGGACCTCCGAGTTTTCATGCTCACAGTCGGGGCGCTCAGGAAGGAACCCTCTTCGTTGGGGAGGGGCTCGGTGTTCCTGGATGGTTGTGCAGTTTGCCTGAGGTTTCCCTGAGGGTTTCCATGGGAAGTCGAAGTTCAAGTTTTGGGGAGCAGGGGCCTCGTTCCTTATTTGGGGTTCCTTAGGTCAGCGCCCCGACTGTATGTCATTACTCGTTCTCCTACGGATGGGCTTCATGTCGGCCAGCGAGATGACACTCCGGTAGTATGCGCAGGTCAGGGCAGCCAGGCCGCACGAGTCAGCGGGTTCCCGCCCACTCCCACCCTTCCCCTTCCGCAACAGGACGGAGGAGGAGGAGGAGGAGGAGGAGGAGGAGGAGGAGGAGGAGGAGGAGGAGGAGGAGGAGGAGGAGGAGGAGGAGGAGGAGGAGGAGGAGGAGGAGGAGGATGAGGAGGAGGAGGAGGAGGCGGCACGCGTGGGGGTTGGGAGTGGACCGCGCTCCCGTCTGGCGAGCGGACGGCGCCCGCGCGCGGCCCCGCCTCCGACGCCCTGGCGAGGGGAGACAACACCTGCAGGCCACGCGCGGGCGGGGGCGGCGCTTCGGAGCATCCGTGCGCGCCGCGGCGTGGGCACCGTGCAGTTTTTTTCTTGTTCGGGCGGCAGGGCTTCCGATCCGTGCGCGAAGGAGGTGAGAATCGGCGTCACCCCAAACATGCTTCTGCTATGTGTGCGTCGCCCCCCCCCTGGGGCGACGCGCGCACCGAGGAATCTCATAGTGCATGCCTCGTGGCGGGCGCTGTCTGGCCACACCGCTGGGGAAACGATGCGATGCAGGATGGGTATACCATATGTTCGGGTCGGACGCGCGCCTCCAAGGTGGACGTATAGTACTTAGTATGTCTCTGCGCGTCCCATGAGAAGGAACACTCGGCGCCGAACAAAAACAGCACAGCCACTTCCACGCGCAGTCTGCGCGGCGCTGGAGCGGGGACGCCTGTCGCGCAGCCCGCTCTCGCACGGGGCCCGCGGGGATCCGGAGAGCAACACGGGCCCTTGGCATCGCTCGGACGTGTGCGTGCTTTCGCGAGGGGGACCATCGAGGAGCATGTCGAGTCCTCTCGCGAAGAGGACACGCGCGAGGCACAAGGCACGGGGAGTGGACGCCCGAGCGATGGCCACTGCCTCGTGCCCACGCGGGAGCGCCGCTTCAAGCAGCATGTCTCCTCGGAGCGAGCGCGAGGGGGCGAGTGGTGGCCCAGCTCGCGAGCTCGGCCCGGCCCCCAACAAAACGGGTTCTGGCGAGCGGAGGCGATGCGCCGCGCCGACGCCTCGGCATCGCTCGGACGCGTGCATTTTTTTTTTCCCCTCGGCGATCCCCCACTCGGGGCCTCCCCCCTCCCTGTCCTCGTCCTCCTCCCCTCCCCCCCCCCCGCCCCTCGGGAAGGTGATCTGCCGCAACTTCTCAGTCCTGCGAACCGTAGCCCGCAAGTCTGGAAGACCATCGCCAGAAAGGGGCCCGCCCTTTTCCTGCACTGCCCGTGCTCTCCTGGTGCCGTGGCGTGGACGTGCGCCTCCGGCCGCCGGCGGGCGCCCCCTTCCGCCGACGTGCCGTGCAGGCGCGGCGCTACCGATGGATGGATTGCTCCTCTGCTGGGTCGCCCGTCCTCCTTTCCAGGGGCGCCCTCGAGGGCGCGAAGTTCTTCGCGCTTCGCGCTTCGGCTCCGACTCCTCCTCCTCGTCCTCGTCTCCTCCCCTGGGGGGCGGCGCCAGAGCGCGAAGCTATCCGCGCTTCGCGCTTCGCGCAGCGCGAAGCGCGAAGTTGGGAGCCCTTCCGCTCCATCCTGCAGGGCTGAGACTGCCACCCTGCAGCAAGAGCAGAGCATCAAAGACCCTGCGAACCAGGCGAGTCAGCTGGCCCAGCGAGCAGCTGGCGAGCAGGCCTCTCGGCCCCTGGCGGCGGTCGGCCTCGGCGCGTCCAAGCCGGGCTCGCCGCTGCTCCTCGCCCATCCCGCAGGGCCGAGCGACGCCGTGCGCGGAGACTCCCCGGGAGGGCCGCGCGGAGCTCGCGGGTCGGCGCCGGGCCCTCCCCTCGGCACCGCGCGGCTGCGCGCCCTCTCTTTTGTCTCGGCGAGGGCCATCGAGGAGCATCCTGGGTTGAGTCGGGCCTGTCCCTCTGCAGGGGGGAGTATTCAAAAATAGTAAAAAAAAGTCTGGGGACGATTTTTTTTTTTTTTTTTTTTGTTGGGGGGGGGTACGTTTTTTTTTTGAGACACCAGCACCACTGCCGGCGGTGTGCTGCCACCGAGGGAGGATGCGCCCGATCTCGATGACGGGGTGTTGATATTCGGGCTTTCTAGGTGGCCGAAAGATCACCACCAGCACCAACTCCCAGGATCATCTTCCCCCCCCGTGGAGGCAACCCCTGGTTAGGGGAACAAAAATGACATAAACATAAAAACTCGGAGGTCTGCTTGGATTTCTCGGATCGGCGTTGGGGCCCCCCGTCGTCGCCTCCGGCGCCGCCCCTGGCGCGCTCCGCGCGCCAGGGAGGGGGGTCCAGCGCCGATCCGAGAAATTCGCGCGGACCTCTGAGTTTTTATGTTTATGTCACTTTTTGTTCCCCTACTGGTGTTGGTGTTGGTGCCCATCTTGCCAAGCTTCCAAGAGAAGGGCATTTCCGCCCCCTGGCGCGGGATGTGCGCTTCGTCCCGCTCTTGCCGCGCGTCCTGCGACGTGGACGGCCAAACCGTCCTGGGCGAGGGCAAGCGCGTCCACTTTGCACTTTTCACTGCTTTGTTTTTTTTATCGGGTTGGATGAGCCCTCCCCCGGATTTTGGGGTATGATCGGCTGGCCAGGTGGCGCAGTAGGAATCAGGTGGCGCAGTAGGAATCCACAC